TGTTGATTGATCTACTATATGGTTGGTTGATTGATTGATTTAATAAAAGATTGATTGATTGATTTACAAAATAGTTGATTGGTTGATTTACTATATGGTTGATTGATTGATTTACTATATGGTTGATTGAATGATTGTTGATTGATTGATTTACTAATTTACTATATATCTGATTGCATGATTGATTGAATTATTAACTATACGGTTAACTGATTGATTGATTGTTGATTAGTTTACAATATGGTTGATTGATTGATTGACTGAATGGTTGATTGATTGATTGATTTACTATACGGTTGATTGATTTACTATATTGATGGCTGATTTATTGATTGATCTACCAAATGGTTGATTGATTTATTTGCAATAATGTTTGGTCGGATATATTGATTGATTAAATTGAATGAACCAGCAAAAAATGGTCAGTTCATTATTTATCTATTTATTAAAATTAATTGTTAGAACCAACGCCTACCAACCAAAATACTAATTAACTAATTACATAAACGATCAATCAATCAAAAAGTTTAAAAATCAATCAGTATATCACCAAACAATTAAAAAATGGCGAACCGAACGGTCGTGTCTAGTGAATTCTTGTGTTTTTTAACTAATAACTGGAATAATTTCGATAACGAAACTTTTATTTTGAATGTTGTTGATTTCTACCATGTTGACGAAGTCACTGCTGCAATAAGAATCTTAAAAAGTGATTTAGAACTGCTGAAAAACAACAGTTTCCAGTCAGAGTCATTAGAAAAGTTTAAATTTCGTGGAGTAGTTAAGAAAGAGAAAATTTTTGAATGTTTGGAATTGCTAAAGATTTTGAGGTTGGAGGGTTTTATTGATAAGTGTTCAATTTATTCATGCGTTAATCTAGCCAGAATTCCTAATATTACTAATTGGTTGAATTTTAATTTTGATTAAATTAAACATGAAATTGAAGCCATGTTTAGTGCACAACATACGACCATAACAGAAGCATTGAACACTAATAACACCTGCTTGTTAAATAATATACGCGATATTGTTTCTAACTCAACATGATAAAATTAAAGCGTTTACAACAACCACTTCAACAACAAAGCTATCTGAAATGTCTGCTGCTGTCGTTACTGAAATCAAAACAGCAAGTAAAAATCTTAATACTAATTCGTGGGCTGATAGATGTAGTAATTCAACTTCTAATCTTATTAATAATAATAAAATATTATATAGTAATAACCCTGTGAGTGAATCCAACGATGACGAAGGATTTCAACCTGTCGAAAAAGCCAAGAAAAAAAGAAAGTTACACGTTTTTCCTCAAGTTCACCAAGCTTCTAACAGCAATATTATATCTAAGAAACCGTTAAAAATGTATGGCACGGGCACTAATTGTGCCTTAAAAGCCTCTAAAATTATTGTTAAGAAGAGAACATTTTACGTGGGCAACGTTGGCCCATGTAATAAAGAAACAATCGAAAATCATCTCCGTTCCAAAAACATTGACTTCATTCACTGTTACCCAGTTCTACGTAAACGTAACCCTGAAGTTATTGGCGTCGCACAAAACAACCTTTTAGAATCCACGGCATTCAAAATCAACCTGCCAGTCGACGAATCATCAAAACTGACAAGTCCTGACATTTGGCCCAAATACGCTTTCCTTCGTGAGTGGGACTATTCAGCGACAAACATTCCAAGAACTGCTGAAGATAAGATTGCTAAAAAATCATTCAACGTGACTCTCAGTAATGCCCAAAAATCATCAGACACCAACTTTGGCGACATCAACACGAATCCTGTCATCGAGATGAAATCACCAAACGTTAACTATGGCGACAACAAACAATAACCTCAACCTCAACATTGTGGATAACTCTTCATCTCATGGTCTGCTCGAAGATGTTGATCCTGATCACAACGTCCTTAATGAATATTCAAATATTTGTTCTCAAATGATGCCGGAGAATGTTAACTCTTTCATTGGCGTTCATAATTTTTGTATTATGCATGTTAATTGTAGAAGTTTATTAAATAAATTCACTGAATTTAATATTTTAATTGATGAGTGTGGTGATAAATTTGATCTGATAGCTGTTAGCGAAACGTAGCTGAATGAAACTAATTTTAATCTTGTCAATTTGCCTAACTTTAATTTCGTTTGTAAGAATCGTACTGGTACCGTCGGTGGGAGTGTGGGCTTATTTGTCAGAGTTGGTTTAAAGTATGCGGTATGTGATAATTGTTCATTCCATAGATCAACGTTTGAATGTATGATGGTTGAAATATTTGTAAATGTCAATATAAATTATTTGGTTATTATTTTGTATCGTCCTCCTAGCTCTGATGTAAATTTGTTTTTAAACGATTTATCAACCCTACTTCTATCAGTTAACTTTAATGTGTTTACAAATATATATATCATTGGTGATTTTAATATTAATTTATTTGATGACGATTATAGACACATTCCAACTCAATTTATAAACTTGTTAAATTCGTTCGGTTTTTTTTCACTTATATCTCTTGCTACACGTGTCTCATCTACTAATAAATCATTACTTGACAATATCTTCACTAATAATATCACCGGGCATAGGTCTGGTGTCATTATATCATCTCTTTCTGACCATTTTCCTATTTTTTCGTCGTTTGTCATTCCTTGTCTTAATTTACCTAAACCTTCTATTGTATCAATTAATTATTCTAGTTTTAATATTGATTTGTTAAATACCTACCTTTTCAACTATGATTGGTTTTCTGTTTTGAATTGTCATGATGTTAATTTGGCATTTGATTTGTTTACTGGTGTTATTAGAGATGCTATCATTTTATTTTGTAGCTGGAAAATGCTAAAATCATGTTTAGGTCGCACCACTTATTATTATGATTGATGGTCATTTTATCACGGATGATACACAATTATGTAACCATTTTAACATCTATTTTTCTTCAATGAACACTATTGATAATAGCGATGTTAATAATTTTGACTATAAAAAGTATGTCAGCTATGGTGTTAATGATTCATTTGTTTTGTTTGAGTGTCTTCCAAATGAAATTATTGACGTTGTGAATAACTTTGGGAATACTCACAGCTGTGGTGATGATCTCATATCTAATTTTATGCTTAAAAAAATTATTCATAGTATTTTATTACCCTTGGTCCAATTGATTAACATGTCATTTAACAAAGGTGTTTTTCCTAATTGCCTTAAATTTTCTAAAATTTTACCTTTATTTAAATCTGGAGACCGGCATTCTATAACAAATTATCGACCAATTTCTGTGCTTTCTAGTTTATCAAAGTTAATTGAAAAAATTGTTCTTAACCGTCTTAATAAATTTTTTTATTTCCGTGATGTAATTTGTTTAAATCAGTATGGTTTTAGGGATAAATTATCGACTGAATTTGCAATAATTGATGTTGTGAATTTTATCTCTCTTGCTCTCGAATCTAAAAAATATTCAATTGGCGTTTTTATTGACCTGTGCAAGGCTTTTGATTCTTTAGATCATAAGATTTTGCTATATAAATTGTTTTCTTATGGAATTCGTGGTCTGCCTTATGATTGGTTTTGTTCTTATTTACACGACCGTTCCCAATATGTGTCTATTAATGATTCTAAGTCCTCATTATCGCCAATTAATTCCGGTGTTCCTCAAGGTTCAATCCTTGGTCCATTGCTCTTTAATATCTTTATTAATGACTTTATCAACTCATCAAGTATTCTAAAATTCATTCTGTTTGCTGATGATACTACTCTATTATACTCTCATTCTGACCTCAATTTTTTAGTCTCCGTTATTAATAATGAGTTGAAGCTTATTTATAATTGGGTTGTTTCTAATAACCTGCGTATTAACCTGGATAAAACATGTTTTGTTTTGTTTGGTCCAAAGATTAGAACCGATATTGTTTTCCCTATTGTTTTGCTCAATGAACAAACAGTTAAGAGAGTAGACTCTACCAAATTTTTAGGTGTTATCATTTCTTCTAATTTATCATGGTTAGCTCATATTAAGCACATTTCACGTACTCATGTAATAGATAGAGATAACTATTTTTGCTTATTTAACTACTTTTCTAAAACCCTCAGTTCATTTAATTTTAATGAAATATTCTATTCATTTTTTGTTTGCAACTGTTCATTTTCAAATATTTTTGTTTATCACTACATCTTATCTATAGAGACACAATTTTAGTTAAGGTGGTCAGAACATACGTTGGTATCTTGATCTCCTGCGCTTTTTTGCCAAATAAAATTCATTTCAATTCAATTCAATTCAAAAAAATCAATCAACCAACCAGCCTACCAGCCAGCAGGCAAATTAACCAAACAATTAAGAGATGGACTAATACAAAAATTACAATGAATTAATGAATGAATCGATTGAATTAATAAGTCAACCAACCGATCAATCAACCAATCAATCAACCAATCAGCCAATCAATCAACCAATCAGTCAATCAATCAATCAATCAATCAGTCAGTCAATCAATCAATCAATTAGTTAATTAGTTAATTAGTAATGAGATAAAGAAGTCGGAGAGAGTGGAAAAAAAGATGAAGTGACGCAACCAACCTGGCATCCGTCGTCAGCGTCCGATGGAGATTTCTGTTGAGTCTGTCGTATTTCAAATATTCCAATTACTCACCATCACCTACCGACCAATTATACACCACAATCTACAATACATGTACGTGCATACAAACAAACACTGACTACTAATTTAGACATAGACATAGACACAATGGTGTGTCGACTTGAATCCGCAAGTATGATGAGTAGGTACGTATAATTAAGAGGATTTTCCAACCTGCTACTGAAGGTAGAGTTGGCCAGCACGAGTGGGTACGTAAGAAAACCCCCGTAAACTTTTTAATAGGCGCTATATAAATGTAAAAATAATGTCACACTCTTTTGGAATTATATACACAGGAAGTGGCTAAATATGAAAGTTGATCTGGAAGCAGTGGTCTTCCTGCATCAATTTTAATAGATGCATGACGTCATCCCTCCTCCTCTTGCCTCCTCCAATTGGAGTGCCCAATGAGGGAGAAGATGCAACAGGGCATTTCCGGTTCGAAAGTTCCACGGCCACACAAAATAATAAGAGAGTCCATGTTGTTCTGGTTCGTGCAGAAATTCCTCAGCACATCCAACATGTGACCATCCTCTTCTGCATAACAACCAGCAGATAAAACACCAACACCACAAAAACAAGCAACACTCAACATGCAACAAGCAACAAAGAAACACACAACAAGCAACATTCAACACTCAACAAGCAACATTCAACAAGCAACATTCAACAAGCAACATTCAACAAGCAGCAAGCAACCAGCAGTAGAAATACCTTATCAGATTTGTGCAGCCCCGCGATCTTCAACCTGACAGTGTTGAATCTCTTTGCAGTTGAACTAGCGCCACCAGCACTGGCCGGGACAGAAGACCCAGCACTAGCACCAATAGAACTAGAGAAGCCAAGGACGGTAACAGCAGCCTTCTTACTGGTTGTTTTGAGGTTCTGATAGGTGGGCACCTTAACGATGGTCGCAGTTGTGGTGGTTTTCGTTGAGGCAGACAACAATGATACCGTTGATGAAGATTTCGTTGAAAGAGTTTGTTGCTGTTGCTGCTGTTTGGTGTTCTTTGTGAAGAACTGCTTCAGTTTGGTCGACATGCTGGAGACGATGTTTGAGGTTGAAGGTTTCACGGGAGTGTCCAACCTCGGAGCCCTGCTTTCAATTCAATCATTATCAAATTATTTATTCAAACGAAGTTTAACTGCAAACAGAATGTAAAAACAAAGTAGCAGAGTTTATTGTGGATGATAATAATTCATCTGCCAGCGACGATTACCTCACAAAAACACTCACACTTATTCTAATTATTGAATCAATAAAATGAATTATATGCAGTGACGATGGTGGGGGCAGGTGGGGAAATGTACATTGCCACCAAGCAGTTCTAAACGACATCAAACAACCTAAGAATACCTTACATGCAGAAGCCGCATCAACGTTTCAACAGTAATAATAACAATAACAATAACAACAACAACAACAATAATAATAATAACCCCTTCTGCATCTGCGTCATCTTTTCGTGCTTCTTAACCATCCTGCCAACGAAGCTCTCCGCAGTTGTGGGAGGCTTGTGGGGTCCTGGTGGTAGTGGCAACTCTTTTGAATGTTCCCCTTGTGAGATTGTGTTAGCAGCAGTAGAAGTAGCGACAGTAGAAGTAGCAGCATAAGTAGCCGTAGTAGTGGTCATCCCTGTGGTAGCTGAGACGACTTCAACATCTTCATAAATGTGGCCAGCGTCGTCGTCAACGTTTGCAGCCACGATATCATCAAGGGTGACTTTTCTAAACTTTGTAGCGGGAAATTTCTTGCAGGACTCGTTGTCGTCCTCCTCAAAAACATCCGACTTCCTTTTGTGGTTGCTACTGCTGCCGCTTCTGTTGCCACTGATGTCGTTGTTGACGTTGCAGACGATTAATTTTTCCTCCAAATCCATCTTAATGTTGTGGCTACGTGGCGTAGCGACTACCTTATCGCAAGATCTCCTGTAGTTACTGGTTCTCACCTTTTTCTTCTTACCATTCTTGCCCACCGGCTTTTTGTTAGGCTTCCTCTTAGACTTCCCCCTGTTACTCTTCTTCCCTTCTTCTTCTACGTCATCACTTTCATCTCCGTCGTCGTCATCATCATCTTCATCTCCTTTCACGTTCAAAGTTTTATCGTTGTAATCATTTGTGAGATTCTGATTCCTCTTAACATCGCTATTATCGTTATCAATTTTGTTAATATTATTGATATTATTATTATCGTTGTTATCATTACTTTTGGTTTTGTTGATGTCGTTGAAATCATTCTTCGCTGGGCTTTCCATAATTTCATCATCGATGTACCCAATATCGTCTTCGACGTTGAACGCCTTGCAGGGTGACTTGCAGCAGTTCCTGTGAGCATTTGTTTGTTTGATATGAAGTTCCATGTCGTGTGTGTGTGTGTGTGATCCGTCGTTCAGGCAGACACTCTCATGGTGAATAAATAACTAGATGATAACTTCATCGTCGTCGTCATCATCATCATCATTATCATTGATGCTATCATCATCATCGTCGTCATCATCGTCATCATCATCGTCGTCATCATCATTAGTTTAGAAGATAAAAACTTGTTTAAAGTCCACAAAACGTTAACCGTTGAAACCAATGACATCAATTAATCATAAATAATATTTGCATCGTGCAATGAATATTAGGGATCTACCAAGGAACAAATGAATGTATGGACCTGTTCGATAGAGGAATTGAACCCGACACCTCGACATCATCGCTTGCTTGCTGCTGCTGCTGCTGCTTCTTTGATTTAAAAGCGAACTTACTTTTCAATTTCGAAATCGGTGATGAATGTGACGAGGATTTGAATGGTGATGATGCGGGCTGAGGTTGGATGTGTTTATGAGATACTGCTGATGATGATAATGATGATGATGATGTTGTTGATGATGTTGTTGTTGTTGATGAAAATAATGCTGTTGTAGATGATGATGCTGTTGTCGTTGTAGATGATGACGATGTTGTTGTAGATGATGATGATGATATTGTTGTAGATGATGATGTTGTTGTAGATGATGATGATGTTGTTGTTGTTGATGATGTCGTTGTTGATGAGTGAGTAGATGATTTTTTGAATGATCCCTTCAAATTCTTGAAAAATGATTTCATTGGACTGACCTGCTGAGAGTTAATTAGAGCAATCAAAGAACCAACCAATCAACCAGCCTACCAACCAAAATACTTTTTATTTATTTATTTATTTCTTCAAAGACACAAACAGTAAACAGAAAGATACTTGTAATAGTGCCTTAACTAAAAATTGTCAAAAATATTTCGATGAGAAAACTAAAATGACCAAATTTTTGCAAGACACATTGCATAGTTACACAAATATATATATAAATTTTATAAATATATATAAAACACTATTCTAAGTTATGATAGTAGATGACAAATTATAAAAAAGAAATATATATATATATATATATATATATATATATACATGACGTAAAAGACTGAGCAATGAAAAATACATACGTACATACATATACATTGTTCACTGTTTGTTTTCTTCAAAGATACAAAATAAACAGAAAAAAACTCATAATAGTTTATTAACTAAAAATGTTCTACAATGAGAAAACAACAATGATCAAACTTAAGCAGAAGTATACAAACACATTTTCTCTCAATTAGCAATTAACTAATTACTTAATCAATCAATCAATCAATCAATCAATCAATCAATCAATCAATCAATCAATCAATCAATCAATCAATCAATCAATCAATCAATCAATCAATCAATCAATCAATCAATCAATCAATCAATCAATCAATCAATCAATCAATCAATCAATCAATCAATCAATCAACCAACCAACCAATTAATCAGCCAATCAGATAATCAATCAATCAAACGATCAATCAATCAATCAATCAACCAACCTAACCTACCTTCTCGTTATGTTTACCATTGAAATAACCAGTCTCCTTATAATCATCTGCATCTTCATCGTTGTTGTCATCACCGTTACCATCATCATCATCATCACCATCATTATCACCATAGTTAACGTCGTTACTTCTCGTGGTTTTGTTGTTGTTGCCACTTTTGGTGGAATTGTTGGTGGTGAAGTTGGTGGTTTTGTTGATGATGGTGTTGTTGCTGCTTTCGGTGGAGTTGTTGGTGGTGATGGAGGTGGTGGTTTTGTTGATGGTGGTGTTGTTGCTGCTTTTGATGATGTTGTTGATATTGTTGATAAAATTGTCGTCATCAATGTTGTTGCTGTTGTAGTTGTTGTTGTAGTTGTTGCTGTTGTTGTTGTAGTTGTTGTTGTTGCAATCAAAGTTGAGTTTACATGTAACTGAGGGACTCAGTGTTGACTTGACCATAGCAAATCCATTTTGACTCCTGATGATGATTATTATAATTACTATTTGTTATCATTATTATTGTTATTATTATAATTATTATTATGATTATTATTGTTGTTATTAATCACTCTAATGGTACTTCTTAGAGAATGGTAGTAATTGTAATTGTAAGCATCTCAATCAATCAATCAATCAATCGATCAATCGATCAATCAATCGATCAATCGATCAATCGATCAATCAATCAATCAATCAATCAATCAATCAATCAATCAATCAATCAATCAATCAATCAATCAATCAATCAATCAATCAATCAATCAATCAATCAATCAATCAATCAATCAATCGATCAATCAATCAATCAATCAATAAAATCAATCAATCAAGCAATCAATCAATCAATCAAGCAATCAATCAATCAATCAAGCAATCAATTGATCAATTGATTGGTCAATCAATTGCAATAAGGTGAAATATTTACCATACAGCTATTTATTTACCGTTATAAGTTCATATATGATTTGAGACCACAAATGTTTAAAAAAAATATTTATCTACTTATCATTCATCCGCCCATTCATTCAGCCCCTTCTTTGTTCATTCACTCATTCATTCATCATCTAATCATTGAAGTAAAACAATAGGAAATGGCAAAGTCAGAAGACGACATGGGTGCCAACACAAAATGATTACTAACTTACACTGACACACAACGCACGCGTGCCGCCGAGCAGAGAGAGAGAGAGAGAGAAAGAGAGAGAGAGAGAGAGAGAGAGAGAGAGAGAGAGAGAGAGAGAGAGAGAGAGAGAGAGAGAGAGAGAAGACACACACACACACATTCATCCACCCACGACACATACAAATAATAACTCGCCTATGATTGGCTGGTGTAAGAATGAGGCTTCGTGGACACGAATGGTCATTGGACGAAGCCAAGTTCACAAAGTGCCTCGACGAGTAGTTGGACTGATTCTTGGCCGAGTAATAAACACTTGACGATGAAGAGGACGTGAGAAGTGATGACAACAACGATGATGATGACGTAACGAACGATGATGATAATGATGATGACGGTGACGTACTCATTGACGACGACGATGGTGGTGGAAGTGGTGGTGGCAACAAGAATGATGGAGACTGCAGTGATGGTGGCAAATTGGACATTCCATCGTTGTGAGAAGATTTAAGGAGGGTGGCTTTGTTAATGACGGAACAGGCATCGGAGCTATTGAAATTGTTAATATTCTTGATATGAATAGCAGCAGTAGAAGTGGCAGTGGTTGTAGTCGTAGCAGCAGCAGTAGCAGCAGCAACGTTTCTAGTAGCAGTCATAGCCACATTACTATCACTGATACTCTTGGTGACACTCAATCCATCGTTGATGAAAAAACCACGAGTCGATTCATAGGGAGCTGTAGAGAATGTTGACAACAGTGTAGGTAGTGTGGCTTTTGAGGCGGTTCTAGTCGTAGTGTCAGTGGTAGCAGTAGAAGCAGATGTGGTGGTCGCAGTTGATGTTTTTGGTGGCAGTGACAGATGCATGATTCCCCCTCCATTACGTTGGGCAGACAGCATGTCAGCATGGCCAGCTAAGGAACAGTGGTCGTTGGTCAGCTGTGTGGTGCTGCAAAATATTTTTGCGTTACACTCGGTGTTACTGTCACGTGTCATTGTATTGTTGATAATGCGTGGAAGACCCCTGGCAACCCCACCACCCACACCACCAACCACCACCAGCCTCGTTGTAACCACGTGCGGTGGGAAATGATGATGATGATGCTGATGATGATGGGAATGTTAATTTAGATGAAGTCAGTGCTTGAGATGATGATGATGATAAGGTTGGGTGTGGCACTGGTGATGATATCGATGATAAAGTTATTGCTGATGACGATGATGATGACAAAAATGTCGACGATGAGAACGTTATCTTTGATGACGTCATTGTTTGTGATGATGACGATGATGAGGAGGAGAATGATGATGAGGAGGATGAGGGCAATGTTGCATCCATCTGCGGTGGGGAATATGCATAGATGGCGGGAAAGTATTGGTTGACCTTGGACAGCAACAACGGTGATCGAGTTGAATTACTCGTTGCAGCTTTAGTTACTAAGCTTGTGGCTGTTTGTGTTTTTGTTGATGTTGCTGTTGCAACTGACGTTACAGTTGTTGCTAGTGCGACATTTTTAGTAGATCTACTGCAGCTAGCACTCTCATTCATCCTCTTTTTAACACCTGTCCTGTATATCGATCTCATGCCGGTTATGTCTAAGATGGAGGTAGCAGCAGCAGTTGCAGTGCAGCTTGTTGCAGCGACGCTTGTTGCAGTGCCGCTTGTTGCAGCGACGCTTGTTGCAGTGCCGCTTGTTGCAGCGACGCTTGTTGCTTCAACAGTTTCAGTAACGTCAGTAGCAGCTGTAGTACTGGCGGTGCAAAATGTAACGGAGGCTGTATTGTCATCAGATGTAGTAGTATTTATTGTTTTATCACTGCCGGCAGTAATTCTTGCTGTGGTGGGGACAGGTGTGGTAGACATGCTTGCCAATTGCTGCAACCTTGTGGAGGATCTTAACTTAGGTTTCGTTACTGTTGTTGTTGTCGTTGTTAATGCTTTTGTTGATAACTTAGATGATGTTGTTGTTGCTAACTTCAATGATGCCGTTGATATTGTTGTTGACGATACGCTTGGAAGCGACGTTGAACTTATTGTTGATGATGTTAATGATGACGTCACCGTTAATAATGACGTCATTGCAGATGATGACGACAGAGATGACGACAGAAAGGCTGAATTTGCAATAGAATCGTTAGATGGATATTTTACACTTACAATGTTATCAACATAAGAAATAGTATTAGCAGTATAGGTAGTAGCATTAGTAGTAGTAGTAACAGCAGTAGCAGTAGAAGTGGTAGAAGCAGCGACAGCAGCAGCAGCAGTAACAACTGTCAGATGGTGAGTGGTGATTACTTCATTTCTATCACCATTGTTTTCGTCATCGTCGCAGAATGTCAAACTCCTGCTATCCTCGAGAGCTGCCAGGTAGCTTCCAGTTCTGAATTTGCTGTGAGTATTTTTACCACTGTCGATATCACCAGTCTTACCACCATCATCATTCTCGTCACCGCTGTTGTTGTCGTTATTATTAATGACATTTTTATTCGCGACAGCCAAAGTTGTGGCAACGGCAGTAGCAGCAGTAGTAGCAGCAGCAGTGGTAACTGTGGTAGCAGAAGTAGTAGCTGTAGTAGCGGCAGTAGCAGTGGTGGTAGTAGTGGAAGAGAGAGCCTGCAAGAGAGGTCTCATGTTAGCATTACTCCACAGCCTCTTCTCCAAACACTCCATGGAACTCTTCAGCCTTGCCAGTGACACAGGAGATTCTGATGTCGACGGCCGTAGTGGCGGCAACGATGATGCTGATAATGATGAATGCGGTGGTAGCAATGATGATGACGATGATGATGACAACGACACCGACGATAAAGATGATTTGACTGAAGTGGTGGTTGAGTTGCAGTTCAATTTCCTCCCCTTTGGTGCTTTTTTCTTTTTCGATTTGGCTTTGGTAGTCTTAGTAGTGGCGGAGGAACTTGTGGTAGCAGCAACTTTAGTAGCAGCGGTAGCCTCAATATCCATAAAATTGTCTGCCATATTAGTTGTAAAAATATCATCAGCTGTGGATGTTGTAGACACAGCCTGTGTAGCAGCAGTAAAATTAATGGATGTAGTAATAGAAGTGACTGTTGCAGTAGCTAATGCAGTAGCGGTTATAACCTCAGAAGTTGTAGCACCATTATTACCGCCACCATCATCGTGATATAAATTAACATTCAGTTTCATGATGGACTCAACAATCTTCATGCACTCCTCACCAAACAAATCCCCCCCAAAACTTTCTCTCTTCCCACTGCTGCTGTTATTCTTAGTGATGTTGTTGTGGTTGCCACTAATGTCGGTTTGGTTGTTGTTGCTGCTGAAGTTGTTGTTGTTGCTGTTGTTGTTGTTGCTGTTGCAGTTGTTACTGATGTTGTTATTGCTGATGTGGCAACTACCAACGTTGTTGTGGTTGTTGCTACTGATGTTGTTGTGGTTGTTGCTACTGATGTTGTTGTGGTTGTTGTCGCTGATGTGGTTACTACTAAAGTTGTTGTGGTTGTTGCTACTGATGTTGTTGTGGTTGTTGTCGCTGATGTGGTCACTACTAAAGTTGTTGTGGTTGTTGCTACTGATATTGTTAATGCCATAGTTGTTTATCACACTAAGAATTTCGCTGCTGATAATAACATCGTTGCTAGAAAGACCATCACCATTGTTGCTGTTATTGTTATCTAATTCTTTACAACTTTCATTACCATTAACGTAATAACCGTTCACATTGTTACTAGCCCTGACATCAACTTCATCCTGGTTACCACTGCCATCATCATTATTACTACCTGTAACTTCAATAACATTCTCATCATTACCTCTACAACCTTTTTTATTTTTATTATTATTACTATTACCTTTATTATTAATGATGCTATTTTCATTATTATTATTACTTTTATTATTAATGATGTTATTATTATTATTATTACCTTTATTATTATTGATGTTATTATCATTATTATTATTACTTTTATTATTAATGATGTTATTATTATTATTATTACCTTTATTATTATTGATGTTATTATCATTATTATTATTACTTTTATTATTAATGATGTTATTATTATTACTTTTATTATTAATGATGTTATTATTATTACTTTTATTATTAATGATGTTATTATTATTACTTTTATTATTACTTTTATTATTAATGATGTTATTGTTATTATTATTATCCTCATTCCTCCTCCTCTTCTCGGCCTTCTTTCTCTCCAGCATCCTTACTCTCTCCCTCTCCTCCTCCAGCAGCCTTTCTAGCTGGCGAATTCGATCCCGACACCTCGCCATCACCACCGACGTATCGCAACTGCTGACATTCAAGGTGACGTCACCGTCATCATTATCATCATCATTATCATTATTACTATTATTATTACTATAGCATTCTATCGTCCTATCAAGCTCCTTCGTCAACTCCTTGAAATGGGCTCTGCTCTGTTCTAGCTCTTCATCATCCGCTGTGTTACAATCATCGTCATTGCAGTTATTATTAACGTTATTATTATTTTTATTATTATTGTTGTTGTTGTTGTTATTACTATTTTTATTGCAAGCATCATCGACCTTTCTGCCCAAGCAGACAGAAAGAAATTTTGTCTTCTCCACAATTTCCTCATACGCGTTTGTTTGCACGCCGGTACCACTGGCTATCCTCCTACCACTTTTAATAGTTTTCTTGTTGTTTATATTATTCTTAGCAGTAGTAGCAGCAGCTGCTGTTGCTGCTTCAGTAGTAGTAGTAGTAGTAGAAGCAGCAGTAGCTATGGTGGTAGCAGTAGCAGTAGTAGTAGTAGAAGCAGCAGTAGCTATGGAGGTAGCAGTAGCTATTGTGGCAGCAGTCATTTTACTTCCAATGGAGCCCTTAATATTAGTAGCGCTACAAACAGGTTTGTTAACCTTTCTACTCTTGCTATTTCTCGCTCTCCTCTCGACATGAGCGCCCCCATCATCTGCATCGGCATCTTCGTCGTCACCATCATTCGCCATCGTACAATCCCCACTGTATGTTTTTTTACTCACATTATTCTCATTACCATTAACACGTTTGCCATTATTCCCATTATTGTTGTTAGTGTTATTGTTGCTGTGGTTATTTTTGCTATTTAGGATGTGATTAAGTTTGGCCTTTCTGTCCAATCTCGATCTGACAGCGGAGCAATCTGGTGTGGCTACTGATACGTCATTGCCGTCATCGTCGTTGTTGACATCATCACCCTTGTTGTCGCAATTAATGGTGGCGTCGTTGATGTCGTAGCTGTCGCAGCAGTCATTGCTGCCGATGTTTGTATTGTTGACAGTGTCGTCGTTGCCATCCTCGTTGTGGCCATCACTGTTGATAGTAGATTGAGAAATGCTTAAGACACGAGTGCTTCGAGTTGCTCCCCTAGAAGTTTTAGTTATCCCCTGAGATGTCTTTCTGCTGTTCACAGCTGTGCTGTTCAATGGTAAAGAATCATCAAGGTAGGTTATCTTCCTCCTAGGTCTTAATTGCCTGCTGCTTCCATTCAAAACTGAACTATCAGCAGCTGAGTCATTGAGCGTGGATGAGGAATAATTTAATCTCAACTTTGACCTTCGCGTTTCCAACTTTTTTACGCTTCTCTTCTTCTTCTTCTTCTTCTTCTTCTTCTCAATAGACACTTCAAAATCCTCCTCACAGCCTCTCTGTAGAGTTATGAAGCCTGGCGTAGTGGCCACTGATGCAGTGGCGGTGGTCGATTGAGTTTGGTCTTTGGGGTTCCCATAGCAGGTGAACTTTTTTAAGGGTCTTTGCTTCTCGTTGGTGCGGTTCCACACCTGATTCAACTCCCTTCAACCTTGCGGAAGATTTAAAATGCAGTGAAGTGTTTGTTTGTTTTGATTGTTCGTTATGTGTCTGATGTTCCTGTCTGATGCACGTTTTTATAATAATAATAATAATAATCTAGCTTTTACAATAAAGAGCAAATAACGAAATAAAATCAGATAAATGAAATTAAGGAAATATTTTTAAACCTTATATTTTTAAACCTTATTAAACAAAGAAAAAAAAACCTCAGAAGATAATAAATAAAATAAAACAAAGAAATAAAATTGCCCATCTGACCATCCAGCATCATCGCCGGGACGACCCTCGGCAAATGTCACTCGACTGGTATCTCTAAACTTCGGAGCTTCTATTGACGGCCGAAAGAGAGGTGATCTCCTTTTGACGATGACTCTTTTTTGCTTCCTCTGCTGAGTCGGTGTTTTAGGGATCTGACAACCCCTTTACAAATTAAAATTATGTTCGACTGAGATTTGAAATAATTTTAATAATCGTTCTTTAAATAAACTGAAATAAATTGAATGCTGTTGGACCATGACTTGAAATAATTCAATGAATTTTCTTTGAATAAATGGAAATAAATTGAATGCTGTTTTCAAATTTATAAAATTGTATTAATCAAATACACTCAATAATAATATCAAGGTTGTGTAAATACATATTGCAAATATACATATTTATATACATTAAATACATATTTAAATTTATTATATATATATATATATATATATATATATATATATATATATATATATATATATATATATATATATATATATCAACTCATAGAACAATGACATCTGATGACAAATATACAACAACGGGCATTTGGAATTCTTCCTACCAATAAATTCAGAAACAGAGGAATTATTAATAATGAAAACTATTCATTTATTGATAATGAAAACACGTAAAAGTGTTATGAGTTATATTTATTGATAATGAAAACACATAAAAAGGTTATAATTTAACGAGGTTGAAGATTGTATTCAGTTTAAAAAACATACAAGGAATCAATAAAGTAGAGTAGAGGCACAATTTGATGAACATGATGAAAACGCCTAATGTACTAACCTATGTGTCTCTTCTAGTTCTAGCTTAACCTTTCTTTTTAAAATAAATCTAATGAGAATGGCATTCACATTTAGTCATTTATTTAGGATTTATATTACATACTACCACTATATTATATTATATTACCTACAAACAAGAGACAAACATGTCTTAGTCTACAACTACACCAATTGATCAGTAAATTCGTTGATGGAAACTCAAATTCTCTTTTAAAATTTAAAATGAAAATGATTTTTAATTTTTTTTCATTTCAATATTTCATTTATTATATTTCATTGATTTGACGGTTGAGTCTTGACTGAATTTGAATATGATGGTCCATAATTGTAATTCATTTTTTGAATTTTAAAAGTAATTAATACTAAATTACTAATAATAATCTTCCAATTAGTAAATAAATTAATAAGGGCTTGCTTGACTTGGTAAGTAACGTTTGAAAAATTGCTGGGGCGGTTAGAAGTGCGAGAAATAAGAACAAAATTCAACGCTAACTTGTTACTGTTCATTTTTTTCCTGTTTTTGTTAAGTTTCGCCTGCTCCTGAAGTTCAGAGAGCCAGTCAAACCCTTCTTCCACCAAAAGTCTCTCACACGCACATCCATCCTCGAATTTTAAGAAAAACATAACGCAAACAATTTAGAAATTGCGCGAAAGTTAATAAAAAAATATTACTCCGTAAATAAAAATAATTCAGACATAACTTATAACCCCAAGGAGGGTAAAAATCATTGGTAAATATAAAATAAACGATTTGAAAAATTCAATCGACAGTTTGATTGGTGCGCGCATTTTAAAAGAATCGCGGGTTGGTAAAATGCTTAACTGCAAAAGGAAACTTGAGAAGGGTACATTTTTAAATGGATTCATCAGGATTTCATTCATTCATTCATTCAATGATCCTCTGTAATCCCTTAAGGGACCGTTGAGGCCGATGGTATTTTTCTATCTCTCCAAAATCCTTTTCTTTCCCTCGCCATCTTCATTGAGCCCAATGTTCCAACCCCCGTCCATTCCGTGATATCATCCATCCACTTCCTCACAGGTCTTCCAACTTTTTTCTTCCAGCCCTCTTTCTCATCAGTACTTTTTTGATCAGTCTGTCGTCTGTCATTCTGCAGATGTGCCCAAAGATACCCAGCTTTCTTTCCTTGACACTTTCATACACAGTTTTTTGTCTTCCAAGTTGTTTTCTTATGGCATCGTTTCTTATCTTTTGTCTCCAACTGATTTCCAGCAACTTTCTATAACAATGCATCTCGAATGCTTCCAGTTTGTTTAGACTACCATCGTGTTATTAGGATTTCATGGCTTTCAAACATTATAAGCGTTTAATTAGCTACATATGAGGTATGGATAGGCATTTATTTTGCATGTAATCGTAAATCGTTGAAACTCCATTAAATTTTAGTTAGAAACACAACGTTTACCAGAAAGTAAACGAGTCCATGTGTCTATGTGAGATGGGAATCATATACTTATATCATGTCAACTCGCGTTATTTTATAACCATGTAATTTTTTTATTTACTGAACCAATTTTTATTTTTGAAACACCGGAGAATGGCCTGACTAAAAAGGAGTTGCTCTGACTGCTCCAAAACCCAGCACATCTATCAGTTTATTCCGCAATTTATCTTGACTTTTCGAAAGCGTTTAACAAAGTTTTCCCTAAGAGATTGGCACAGAAGTTGGAAACCTGCGGAATTAAAGGTAAAGAGACTCAAGTGGACCACAAAGTGGTTATTCGATAGGCGACAAAAAGTGATCATACGGGAACACTTCTCAAATTGGAAAAATGTAACTAGTGGCGTACCCCAAGGATAAATACTGGGACCACTACTGTTTATACCGTACATAAATGATATCGACAGTGGAATAGCTTCTAGTTCATCCAAGTTTGCTGATGGTACAAATCTGGGTGCTGTAGTAAATAATGCTAACGATGTGGCCACGTTATAAAAGGAATTGGTAAAATTATTTCAGTGGTCGGTAGACTGGCCGACACACTTCAATGTTGAAAAGTGTGCATGCACCTCGGCAGAAAAACCAGCTAGCTTAACTGACAATATGTGGGAATAAACTTGAGTCAACTACGGAAAAACGTGACCTGTGTTTTTATTACCCAATATTGTAAGCCATCAAGACAGTGCCAAGAAGTTGCTAAAAAAGTCTATTAATTGCTAGGAACTATTGAAAAAACGATTTCGTACAGGGAACAAACTGTTATAACAAGGTTATGCAAATCCTTAGTAAGACCACATTTAGACAACTGCGTACCTACAGTTTTTGTGTCCCTATCTCGAAAATAACAAAAAAATTCTTGAGAAGGTTCAATGAAGGGCTACAAAATTGATAACAGGCCTACGACATTTGCAATACGAAGAAAGACTTGACAAATATGTCCTAACAACAACAACCAACAACCTCACAAGCTTATTACGGACGAAAAAGATTTATCGGCTATGAGATTTCATAAATTGTCTGATAACAAATATACAAGCGGTCATAGACTAAAGCTTTCCGAAGAAAAAAACTGGGCCAATGAAATATAACTTCTTCAGCAACGGAGTTGTTAATCACCGGAACAGCTTAAATAACAATACAGTGTCAGCAGAATCGACAAGCATATTAAAAAACGAAGTGGCCAAATTAGGATTCTAACTGGAGTGACTCTGTACAGATGATTAGTCATTGAGCCACTACAATTTTTGTTTTGTTATGTTAATTAGTTCATAAAATTTTAGTCTAATTTTTTAACTCTTATCTTAACATTTTATCAGTTTTACTAAGTTCAATCTGTTACTGAAGTCTATTATAAAAAAAAATAATTAAAAAAATATATGAAAATTGTGTATATATATTTACATATGTGATTAGACAAACTATTATATTGTGCGTGTATATTTTTATTTAAGTTTATATGTGTGTGCGTGTTGTGCTTGTAAAGCCTTAAATTTATTCTCGAGTTGGTAAACAATGATATTGAATTTCTTTCATGACGAAAATATGGCGGTGTGGTTGTAGATAAACAATGCAAACAAATAGTGTTATCCTTGACGAAGTAAACATTTTTTTCTTCAAATTGTTTACCAAATTAATTAGAAAATTGTAATCCAGTCAGACAATAAGTTGAATAATTTTGAAATATAATTATTGGACATGCTGGTTCAGATCAAATGGGTTGTAACGTCGAATGCAGTAATAATGGTGATGCTAATCACAATGAAATCTACCAATGCTTTTCAACCCAATACAAATGTATACGGAATCTCAAATCCGTTGTTGACCGGTCTTCGTCATTATTTCCATCATCATCATCGTCGTGGTAGGAGTACTGTCGTTACTAACTATATGATTGATGATCGTCGAAATAAGGCATCGATAATGATACTATTTGCAGCAGCATCAAGTTCATTCAAGACAAACATTGCAACATCCACAGCAACCACCATCTCAACGAATTTTTCAACAATCTCCAAAAAACCATCCAAATTATTAATTCTCAAAATGTTTTCATCTGACAACAAAATCCCACTCAACCGTAGCAGTATGAACAACTTCAATACCAGCAGCCAAATTAACATCGGCAAGAATAAAACCGACAATGGTAACATTGAAACTAACAAAAAACAGGGTAACAACAAAGACAACAAAATGAAAACGAGAAAAACTCAAGTAATAGTTCGCCGCATCCGAAACATCATAAATCAGACAAGTCTTTACCTTACTAACAATTCAATCGTTCAAACAGCGCTAAACAAATTAGCTAATCAGACAAGTCTTCTCCTTGCCAATGATTCAAGCGTTCAACAAGCGGTAAACAAGGTAGCTAATATTCTTACGTTCAAAAACCTCATGGAGACCATAAAAACAAAGGAAATAGTCAAACAGAAAGAAGCAGAAGTAGTACAACAAGTGAAACAAATGGCAGATGATATGGCGTTTAGTTACGTAAGGATTGTTAAAAATTATTTAGTATCAATCTGCTGCTCCGTCGGTATTGTAGGTGTAACTTTGTGTCTCTTGTGCTCTTTATTTGCCCTAAGCAAGACCTGCAGATTCATCTTGGCACTTGTGGGCTTGGGGTTGGCTATTTATTTGATCGTCTACTGGGTGTATTAGAGAAAATTGAGTTAAATGTTCTCTGCAGTGGTTGTGATAGTGGTTTATTTGTAGCGGGTTCTTAGATGTTCATTTGATTTGCTTGTAACTTTCATTCACATTCGATCAGTTTTTATTTTTTATCACAAGCTTTTGCTGATTTTTAATGTTACAAATGTTTTTAAATAAAATATTTCTATTAGTTTAATTCGATAAAAAATATTATAAACAAACAAATTAATGAACACATACAATACACGTGTCTCTACACAATTTTTATTCTCATAATGTTTAACTCGGGTCGGCATATCCTATTTTCAGCAAACTCCCCATATCAAGTTCAAAGTTGTTATTTTTTACTTCATTTTCAATTTACTTCTACTCTCAATAGACTCCTTTCTAAACATGTATTAAATATTTTAAATATTTTTTTTGGTATTTATTGATAAAAATTAGTTTCAACGACATTTCTAAAAAATTATTACTTTATAGAATCTTAGAATAAAGTTTGAATATACCTGAACTCAACCTTACTAAAAAAAATCTAAAACCTTTCCAATCCACCGAAGCAATATTGAGGATGTGCATCAAGTAACAGATATTAACATAACATAACATATGTAGGATAATGGGCTCAAACAGAAGAGTCAATGTGCCCATCTCTAAACCTTAGTATAAACTGTTCGCGAGAAGGTCTTCTGTGCAGCAATTAACTAACAAATCCAAACAATTATCACGATTCAATAGAACGTAACAAACACAAAAACAAAAAACACGGTCAATTATAAATGAAGTGAAAAACAGATGTAAAAATTAAAAAATTCTACTCATTTAAAAGTAAACAATCAGCCAACCAGTTGATAAAACACAAAAACTACTTTAAAGATTATTTCGTCGAATTAGCATCAAATGTTGCAAACTCCTTCGAAACAAATTCTAACTGGTACCTGCATAACGAAAATCGCAAATTCTTTTTTTTTGTTCTTATGCTAGTCGAAATGAAATCATTTCAGTAACGAAATCGTTATTGGAATATAAAAGTAAAATATAATGATATCAACAATTCATTCGACAGCTCCTACCTTGGAACGTCTTGTTAATCTCTCGTCTTTTTGGTGGATTTCTACGGTGCCTGAAATTTCCAATTGTTCCAATTGAGACAGTATAAGATGCTCTGTCCATTGAATTGACCGCTGTTTAATTTATTCCTAAAAAAAAGTAGAAGCTGCTGAACAAGAACACTACGTCATTAAAATATGCCAAAATTTATCAAATTTTGGCAAAAGCGTATCGATCACGATATCTTGTTGAATCAATTGGACCAGTATGGTGTAAGCGTGCTTCCAGAGTTATCTTTTAGTTATCAAAAAACAGTTTGTATACTGAGGAGGAAAGAATTCTACAAAAAATTCTTCAACATCGCGTAGGGTTAGGATAGCAGCATACAGGATCCATATTGCAGGTCACGACTTTTGTTAATGATTTGTCAGAGACTTGTTCAGTTACATTTGTTTCGCTGATGACAGGAATATTTTTGGCAGCGGCAGAAATATCATTGTAATTATAAGGACAGACGAGTGAGCTCACGCGTGTCTGTAACCTTAGGAAATCAAATTAACATTTTTAGTAAACATTTAAAAAAAAGGTTTGAAAAGGAGCTAAAAAATATTAAATGAAACTTGTTCAAGTGAGCATAGTAGATAATTTGTTCACAGCATGTGACGTTTTCGGTAAACAATTAAATTTGTGAATAGAGTACATAACCTTGTTTAAAATTATAAATGACACTGCTATTGTAATTAATAAACAAACTTTATACACATATGTAGAGATGTTAATTAGGAATGATTAACTACACGGTTAATTAATCGCTAATTAAAGATACCTATTATGAATAATTAAATCGTTAATTAAACCGGTAAATTAAACATTGAGGTTAATTAAACCGTATTACACGAAAACTTCGCACTCTAAATAGTATGTGCCTTAAGATTCAGCCTACTTAGCAGCTGTCTTTTGGAGATGAGATCTACTACCTCTGTCCACAGCTTGTTAATCCATGCCATCATCATTGTATCATTCATAGCCATAATATCAGCAACTAATGCTGTTTCGATGGATGCCACTGCTGTCGCAACTGCTGCCGCTACCATTAATAATAATAATGTTTTCACTGAGACCAGTGTACATACCAGCACAACTTCAACAACAACAACAACAGCAACAACAACAGAAGCAGCAACAACAACCATTACAACTATTAATACCGTTTTTTATGGGGTTAATAACGATGTTATATATTTGTGTATGTGTGCGTGCGTATGTGTGTGCGTATGTGCGCGATTGAATACGTGCTAAACGAGGCATCACACACGAAGCATATGATAGACGGAGATCTCTGTCGTATTCGAACCCGGTAACTGCACGCTCTGCGAAACAGCAACAGGCAACCTTAAGCGCTAGGCCAAAAAAATAGCCATGAATAAAAAATAATAGAAATCAATGAGAGTTTTTATTTATAATGTAAATAAAATTATTCACTTAAAAATTAGTTATATAATATATATATATATTAGTTAGTTATATAATAAAATAATTACTTTAAATTATATTATTAAAGTTAATCAATCAATTATATAATTAATTAAATTAGTTTTGTTGATAAATTTTAGAAAACAAGGCCTGCTTCGGCAGATTACGAATACCCTGACACCGTCGACCCACTTGTTAGTTACGTCATATTATAAATAAATTAAAAAAATGAATGGATGGATGATTGAATGGAAGGTACAATAAATAAATAAAGCAAGCGGGTACCCAAATGGTGATGTTGTTAACTCTTGACTCCAACTATATATATATATATATATAACAATATTTTATAAATTCTACCGAATGTTCTACACAAACATTCGGTAGAATTTATAGAATATTGTAAAAATTATGGTCTATTACCAACATATATATAACAGAAAACTATTAATATGCCGTGTGAGGTAACGACTTGCTGCTTCAAACACCACCTCATATGCATTGATAAATTGTATCGACGCTCTTATGAGCGCATCTTAAAATAAATCGCAGTAAAATTTACTGTTCCAACCGAGGGTAGATGGCCACATCAGTATCATGTAATTTTTTAACCTTCGAACGGAAAACGGTCCTTGGTTAGAAACCGGTAAAGCGATGTAAAAACATAACTCCAAAACTTGTTAAATTTCAAAGTATTTGATTACCATTTGCACAAAATACACACATTGAACAGATAAAGCAACGTAAGAAGCCGGTCCAAAAAGAAACCAAACAACCAGCCGACCAGCAAAAAGTTCCAGCTCCTACACCACCAATAGAAATCCCGATTCATCTCAAAGCATACCTTTCATTGAGGGAGGCATTAAACAACACACAGGTGAACCACATACGGGAGGTGCCGTACGGGACAACGGCCCTTGTCCTCTTCATCGCAGTGGGCACCTACGTGGCACTCCTCATAACAGACACCCTCCTCTCGGCCCCCTTCAAACTGGTCATTGCTTGGGGAGCAGCCTCAATCATCGTGATCATATTCCTGAGGGCGCTAATCAACGCGTAGACCAACCGCGCGATATACCTCGTAAAAATTACTTCACGAAAAGATTCGACGCCGAACGGATTACTGACTGTTTTTAATACAAGCTCAAGGCACTTCTGCAGATTAAAATTTGAAACTATTTTCAGTAATATATTACTGAAAATATGTTTATAAACAAAACGATTTTTTTTCCTTCAAACATTTTATTTTACTTGAAAAAAAAACCAGCCAGTCAACCAAATAACAAAACACGCAGTTTATTCTTTCTCTGTTGCTTTGCCAACAGCTTGCTTGGTACCACGCAGACGACCAGTCCTCCTGGCGGCAATGAGACCGACCTGTCAAGTAAGCAAGCAACTGCATCGTTAGCATCAATCAATACTACCAATACTAATTATTAATAATTAGCACGTATGCATGTTTGCAGTAACACATGGTATTACAACCAGCGTTAAAAAAACTCAATACGGTGTATTACAATTAGTACTGTGATGTACTACGATGCAGCAGAGCATTTAGAGCAATCAGTATTGATATCTCTCTGCATGGGTATTTTAAAAAATTCTAACAGCCAAAAATAAGTAATAAGAGTACAAATGTTTTAAAACTCTTCTCATCAGCTAATCTGTCTTACAGGATGTTAAATTCATAATAGTGCTAGCAGGAAAAAATATGGTAGAAAATAATCAACTAAATAGTATCAACGAATTTGAAGTACATTCAGACATGTGCTTGGTATAAATGTATCAGAGCTCGCGAGAACTCAACATCAAATCACTGTCATCATTATGTAGTGTAGATTATAACAGGCGCTACGAGATTTAAGTCTTATTGTATTAACTTATTTGAAATGTAAACCTCACCTCACCTACGTAAACAACCACTGAACTAATCAACGTATTAACTGCTTGTTGCTTGGTGAATAGACAGTAGAAAACTGACCGAACTGAAAAAATTGACGTCACTAGCAATTGATGGCTACCAACATTACCGCCACTACCAACCAGTAACTACAAGTCATTGAACCAACGTAACTTAAACTAACATTAAGTTATTCACTACTGCTACTACTATGATTACAAAATGTACTGCTACTCCGACTGACATCAGGTCAGCCGTGGAATAGCATCAATAACGCTAGACCACAGCAGACGTGCAGTTACGTTAATTACATTGACACATGTGCTAAGTGTGCCTCACAGCGAGGCTGTGTTTCATCATCTGTCAGTAGTCTAGTACAGGTAGTATTTAATACTACCCCCTAGTAATTCTCTAATGCTAATCCCCAAGTGTTACAATACAATACATGTTTCTAAGTAGTATTCTGAATACATTATGCAATGGAATCACTCGGAAGAGTTAGGTGTTTGAAGAAGCTCTTAAAGTTTGTAAATGTTACTGAATAGTAGAGTAATAATAATAATAGAGTAATAATCGTATCAAGTTAATCACATTCTGAGTTACATTACCATTATATCTAAAAGTCAAATGCGTAAAACCATAATATGGTAGTTAAATACTAATTCAACGAACTGAAGGTAACAATTAACTAGTACATTAATTAGTTTATAGACCGACTGACTCAGACAAATGAGTACACTGATAATTTGAGACTTAATCATCATGAGTGATGAATTGGTTCACTCAGTGAGGGCAAGTCATCAAACATCATCATCGTCAGTGACTAGTACTATGACAGGTGCGAGTCAAATAACATAACTTACCTAGATAACTTAATTAAAAAACACTTCTCATGACAACTCTGGCAGACAGACCCAAAGCAATAACAATACAGAAACATACAGAGAGACACATAAAAATAAAGACACACAGACAGATGCATGAAATGTGAAAACAACGAGCTAACCTTTCTTCCTGCAGACTTATCTCTGGCAACAGTTGATGGCTTACCAATGTGCTGATGGTTACCTCCTCCATGGGGATGCTCAACAGGCTGTGTACGTTGTTGTTGTATGTGACGTTTGTATGCGTAAGTATGCATGTATGTATGTATGTGTAGGTATGTATGTTTATATGTATGTGTGTGTTGCTGATGTTGTATATGATATGTGCCATTGTATATGCGGATTTGTGCATGTATGTATGATGTGTACGTACATATGTATGTGTGCGCAAATGTATGCATGCATACAAATGGATATGTATTATATGGGTGGGTGTACATACTAATAAATACGTTTATGGGCAAGTGTAAATATGCATATATAAAGTGATTGACTAAAGATTTATATGTATACATATGTAGGAGGCTTGTTTAGTTTAAAAAAAACAAACAAAAAAGTTATTACACTTTAGGAGCTGGAAGGTTGACACGCCAAACCAGCAAAATCAACAGTAAATTTTAAGAAATATTTATGTGGCTGCATGCGATGTCTCACACAAAACCTTAACTATGGCTTCGTACCACCCACTACTACTCTACATATGCACAAACATGTGTTTTCGGTTTAGACTCATCTGTGATCTCTACGTATATATAACGTATGCAAATTTCTGGATGCATGAAAATAAGCAAGAATGACCAAAGATCAACTCACGTTCATGGCCACACCCCTGACTCTGGGCCAGCAGTTTCTCTTGGCCTTGTACTTGTGGTAGGCCCTGCCTGCCTTCAACATTGGCTTATCCATGCGACCCCCTCCTGCTACAATGCCTGTGTGTGTTTGTATGTATATGTGTGTTTATGTATGTGTGACTAACTAAAATACTGAAAAAGGTTGGCATCCATGCTAATTCCATGTCTACTTGTTTGTTTCTATACTAGATAATACTTCAATTTACATCATGAAAAGTAATATGAACATAATAAAAACCATTTTGCTTATTTCTCATTCAAACATGACAGCACTAACAAAAGCTATGAAAAAATTTGTAAATGATGAACTGACCAAATATGATTAATCTTAAACATGGTATTTAATACATCTAATAATAACAATGTCAGCAGTAAGTAAGACCAAGTACAACACTAAATAAATGAGTTTCATCTAAAGGTAAGTTAAGGAATGGAAGGATGACGATTCAGATGAGTACACTTTTACATTGAGATGACTTAATCATCACAAGCAGATGTTAAAATCTACTCAGTGAGGGCAAGCCAATCTATCATCATTATCATCACAGAGGTCAGCTGGTCATTTACTCGTTGCCACTAATTTTGTATTGAATTAATTTCAACAAGAATTATAACTAAAAAAATTGCAGCATAGCTGGAAGAAATGAGATTGTTTATGACAGAAAACATTTATGAGCCAACACGAACAAATATCAGACCATTAAAAATGTCTCCACAAAAGCAAAACAATAACATTATCATTTTGGTTTTAATATCAGATCAACGTGAAGAAATCTAACAAATCATCATTTGTTTGTTTGTGTTGCAAATTATATTATTGAAGAAGATAGACGATTGAGATGTATCGAGCAAGGCTGAAGATAAAACTTAATGCCCACAGTTTGATGAATCCTTCTTAAACGAAGGAACATCATCATAAAAATCAGAAGACAGATCTGATCTACTAACCAACCATAGCCCTGTTACTGGAAGGCAACAACTTCTTAGCCCCGGATGGCAGTTTAACTCTGGACCTTTTCGTCTCGGGATTGTGTGAGATGACGACGGCGCAGTTTCCAGATGTTCGCGCCAACCTGCCCCTGTCTCCCATCTTCTCCTCCAGACAGCAAACTGATGTCCCTTCAGGCAGGGAATCCAGTGGTAGAATGTTTCCTACTTGAAGGGTGGCTGGCAGGATATTATCGATTAAGCAATTAAGAAAGGAATGAACTCACTGATAAAATTAATTAAATGCATTCAAAAGTATAGATAAACAGAGATTACTTTGACATCAAACTAGACAGGAAAAAATTAATTAAAATTAAATAATTTAATAAATAATCACACTATAATAGCCCAACAAGTTCAAAGAGCCAGCTCTCACATGTCTAAAAAAGAGACTATCAATAACTTTTAAAATTGTATTCAAATCAATCATATTCTTAAGTCATCACCATAACAGTGACTCGATACAAATACAAAAGGAAATTGTGATGCGAGACTTAACACTATTTGCATAAATAACATGCATTGTTATTTATTGTTGACATCTCTGTAGAATACTAAAAAAAACCCTTAAAAATTAGAAAAAAAATGGCAAAAAGCAATAACCTTTTTTTCCACAGTAAATGAACTGGCCAGTGTGCATTCCTTCGGCGGCGATGAAAGTTTCAGTCCTCAATCGATATCTGTATGGATCCCTGAAGACCACTTTTGCTAGTGGGGCCCCACGACCAGGATCATGAATAATGTCCTAATTTTAAGTTATTTACATTTGTATAATCTATGATCTACGTTAAATGACTTACTCTGATTTACTAAATTACTAAAAGCAAAAAAAACAATAGCAGCAGTAAATAATGATTTATTTTCTTTAGTAGAAGCAGAAATTTAAAAATTGATGATTAAATTAATTATTAATAATAATTAAAAGAAACATTTAAAGTTGACTTTTGCAAAAGAATTTTACAAAAATCCAGTAAGGAATAAAAAAAAGTGAACAGCAGATAAAAAAAATATAAATGCATAAAAAAAAGATTGAGGATGATTGAGACCTTGACAACTCCTTTTATATAACCGTGGCGTTCTGCATAGTCGACGGCACGAAGTTGGGCAGCCCCCTTTCGATGTTTTGTGTGGGCCTTGAAAATTCCGGCCGCACCTTTACGCTGGGACCTGATAACTCGACCCATTTCTATTTAAAGTAGATGAAGCGAAAAAAACGTTTGAATAACTTTAAATTAATGATGTACGCTAATTATAGCTACATGTCTAATTTTATTTAGGAGTCCATTTGATCACGAAGCGTGATCACAATCAACAAGCCAGAAAATCAGCTTTTTAATTTTAAATATAAACAATAACCGGACAAAAAAAAATTTTAATGAAATATTTGAGCCATTAATTAAACAGATTAAAAAGGATGAATTAACTTATACAACATTTCAGCCAACACCAACCTTAGCGGATATGGAAAAGAAAACACAAAAGCAGTTCTTTCATAAACCTAAAATAAATTTTTAAAAAGCGCTTAACTATTGCAACCTTTTACGATTTATCAACTTCAGCTACTATTATATATATATATATAACTATTACAACTATATTTACAAAATAATATATACAAACTACAAATTACAGCCATATGCATAAAAAAAATAGCTAGGTTGAAAGGTTTTGCGTGTATTTTGACTAACAACTTAGCTATTATGAGTAAAATTTATGAGTCTGAAAGCTGTGATGAAAACCTTAATGCCTTTTACAATGATCTTAATGATGCTTTAACTACATGCAAGTATCAAGAAGTTGTTGATGGGTGACTTGAATGCAAAAGTTGGCTGAGAAAAAAAATGCATGACGTGGTTGGTCCTCATCAAATAGGTGAAAGAAATAAAAGTTGAAAAAAGTTAATTGAATGGTGTGTTGCAAATAATCAAATAACTACCAACACCTGGTTTGACAATCACCCAAGGCGAAAATTTACCTGGAAGGGTCTCGGAGACAAGGTAAGAAATATGATTGGTTACATTACTATATAAAAAAATGATTTCGGAAGTTACCTTGGAGCTGATTATGGCAGTGATCATAACCCAGTTGTTTGTAAAATCAAGATAAAGTTAAAGAAAATCATGAGTGAAGTGGCCTCAAAACGTTTGAAATTGTTGCCACAAATGATGAGATCAAGGTTAAGTTTCATTTTATAATTCATTTTTTTAAGTTTTTTCTAATTTATTTATTTTTTTTCAAATTTATTTCCAATTTATAACGGTTTGTTATTATACAAAAATGGTGATCTCGTGTAAATAATTTACTTTTCAACTTTCATTTGATTTCTTTTCTGTACATTCACTAGTTCAGCAAAATTAAATGGCCCCAAAGTTAGTCATTTTTTTGGTGGCGTCATTCATCGTCACCATCTTCGAGTTGCAGCCTACCGCAGCTATCAGGTGTTGTGAATGTTTAGACCGTCCGGACCCATTCAATGCAACTCAAGTTGCACAATGTGATGGCAAGAGCTGCTTATAATTAAAAGGAAAATTTAAAAGTTAGAATTAATTTAATTATAATTTTTAATTAGTGGATAGATTGTTAGCAATAATGGCGGATTTAGGGGGGAGCCAGGGGGCGTTATTTGTGTTTTAAAAATTGGTGAAAGTCGTTGTTTAAAAAAAAAAGTTGTGTTCTTTACGGGAAAAATGACATTATAATCCCAATAGTGAAAAAGTCGACTTTTTTTAATTTCCCCATCCACCCCGGTTTTGTCAACGTAATCAAATATTTTTCAAAATCTTGGCAATAAGTTATCTACTGTCTTCAGCATCGCATCGTCGTCTTCATCGTGTTATCATCATTATAAATCATCAATAGTCAATAAATAACATCATAGTTTTATCACTCGCTACGCCATGGTTCTATGGTCAAAATGCCTGACACTGCCTGTGCAGTGACCGTCTCCGTAGCAAAGAGATCCCACCTACCCTTCGCATGCAATGTATGTGATGCCGCTTATTCACCTATATTCCACATGCATTGTTTCTGATTTTTTAAATAATAATATTTTGGTTTCCTTTTATTGGGTTGGGTAATTCAGTGAAATACGTAAAATTTCAAATTTCGCTCACCCCAAAACCTAACCAGCAACGACTAGCTGATTCAGTAGTACAGTAGTGGAGATGATATTTTGACTGGTGGTCGCTATGTATGAGTGGGAATAACATCTAGAAGACATTTTATAAAATGGCGGATCCAACTTTTCATTTAATTTTATATTGAAAACCGCGCAACTTAATATATTGAGTTTGGTGTCAAATTACATGTTTTTGAAGTCAAAGAATTGAAAAATGTCGTTATTATAATTATAAAATAAATCCACATACCATTTTTCAAAATGTTGATACTAATTTTAAACGTTCCACTTCACGAGCCAGACCAATATTTGTAACTTGTTTCCATGGATATATAATAATAATAAAAACGTTGGATAAACGTTTTAGACTTTATAGTCGCAAATGTTTCTATGGTTAATTCGGTGGCTGCGAATGCGATTGTTAAATAAATATCTGTCATTTCGTTGAAAGAGTATAAATAGCTTGGTAAACTTGCCGTGCTCAACATGTTTTGAATTTAAAAAAAAAATCTTAAAGCTATTTTTTGGTTTTTATCTGTATTGACAGACAATTATGACTTTGAAAAATTCATGTCATGGACACCAAAGTGTATGTTGAATATTGAGTAGACCACTACCTGGATAAGTATATGGAGGAGAAAATGTACCTGAAGATTGAACTTTATAAAGAATATTTAAAAGAAAAAAAGAACTGTCAGATGATGATAAAAAGCTGATTTAAAAAATAGATCTTCTCTTTACCACAACAGCATGAAATAACTTGGAGATTTTCATTCTACCGATATTTCAACAGTAAGATTGACCGTTGAAGTGGTAGTATGCGAGAGGAGGAACATTTCAGTGCAATTGTTCAGCACACGGACTCGCATTTTAAATCACTCGCAAACAACAGATCTTACAAAGTGCCTACAGGCATGGGAAGTACGTAAACAGCGTTTGCTGCATCTGCACGGAAGATTTCATCGAGCAAGTGTTTTTGAGTCAGTTGCTACCACCACGAGGGCGTCTGAAACAATGACTTCCTAAGCTGAGAAGACAGTTTAACGAGCGGGCTATTTTATTATTACAGAATACTATTGTATTATTATGAAAGTGAGTTGTATGTGTTTAAAATTTACGATTGTTCTTTATTCCTTGCAATAAAACAATTGATGCAAAGATATGAAACATTCTGTTGTTTACAGTCTGAAAGACAAAGATAAAGAAGATAATGATTAGATGATTTAAAATTAATTAATTCTTTGTCAATGATCCTCGTAAATATTTTAAAACGTTTTTGTGAACTGCTTCGTCCCATGTCGTTAAAGTAATTAAGTCTTTCTTGAAACATTATATAAATGGCTCTTAAATATCTCTAAACATCATTTAAATTTGTTTCTGATTTGGCTTCAAACGATTTGTTTCATTAAATTCTAAATAACCATTTATTCTTTTTCAATTTACAAAAATTGTGACTTAAAATTTTATAAAACAATGTTTCAAGAAAAATTTGAAATTATTAAAACTGAAAAAAGATTCATAGTACCTATGGAAGAAGCAAAAAGTTTTCCTCAGGGATTGCCACCATACATTCCATTTGTATTGCCTGAAAAGGTTGTACCAGAGTATGGGTTTTTTGATGTGCCCTGTCTGTGCGACGAAGTATGACGATGATGTTGGGCACAGAGAGGGCGAGGTCGGAGTTTTGAAAGTGAGGGTAAACGAGGATGACGTCATTTTGATGCAGTTTCAGTTGGAGAAGTATCAATGCGCGTTCCAACTGCTGCATAACGAGGATGGAAGATCTTTAGCGAATTTGTTGATAAAAGCATTCTTGAGGCAATTATTAAGTAGTAAATTGTTGGAGCTGTTTGCAAATTCGTCAGAAAGTTTCATCGAATGGAAATTGAAAGATTTAAATGTCCTGCACAACAAGCTGGTCAACGAATTGAACGATAGAGAGTGGCCAAATGAATATGAAATAGAAAATGATGGAAGGTTCGGACAGCCAAATGCAGATCAAACTTTAACATCGTGGAATGAAGATGGAGCTTTGTCATCATCGTCACGCAAAAATGTAACGATGATATCACTGTATGAAGATTACATGCAGTTTTACAGACAATCCATAATGACTGACAAGGAATACTACTTCCGGAATAAGAAATATCACATTAACAGAAATGACAACAAGAAAGATGGCAGCAAGCATGTTGGTGGAAACATTAATGATGTTACGATCGATGAAAGAGATGATGGTTTTGATTCTGCGATGGGTCGACAAGAATGATGAGGATTATAATTAGGATGAAAGTGATAGAATAAACATTTATTATTCGGATTTAAACGACATTTAACAAATTATCTCGGAAATAGAACAGTTTCCCTATTCTCGTTGAAATTCGGTATAAAATTAGTTTTTAGTTAGCGACTACACTGAATATACGCTAATCACTTTACCTAAGAGATGTGCGGATAAGCTAATATTTAATTCTAGACGTGTTTGTTCAGCACTCTGGTGAATTTTTAATTTCCTTTAAGGTATCTTATCATTTAATTTAGTCTATCTTTAGATTCTATACTATGCTAGCGAATATGTAAAATTTGAACTCTTGTCGATAAATTAATTGTGCAACAAAAATTTTTGGTTTTGTGATTTTTAGTTTTGCAATTCAAGTAAATTGTTAAAGTTTTTTTTTCATATCAATGTCATTTTGAACTTAGTATAGTACATTTTTTAAATTTTCAAAGTTTTTTAAAAATACATAAATTTTTTTATAAAACACTTGGTATTTCTTATATTTTGTGACGAATTTACAAATGACATGAATATTTTCGGTTATACTGAGTGTTTTTATTAATTTTTTGCAGAGTGAAATTATATTTTCAGGTTCATTTTTGTTTTGTGTTTTTGTTTCTATCACTCCAAAAATGTTCTTTCATCTTTCGACTACATTTTAATTTTCGTAATTGTTTCAAAATGCAAAATTGTCTATTAGGCGTGGAGGCAATTTCATATATATATATATATATATATATATATATATATATATATATATATATATATATATATATATATATATATAAAATTACTTTTTAGAATTATAATTGGCAATTATAAGCGTTTATATTTTTCAAATGTTTTCGCGCCTAACAGCGTTTACGTATCTACATGTGGAAAATTGTTTTATCCGAAAAATAAATTTTCCAACAAGTAACCGTCGAGTCGAAATATGCAATTTCCACAAAAAAAAACTATAAAATATTTGCACGAACACGTCAAAAACACAACAAACTCTATAATGATATAGCGGCTATATAGGTTGAAAAACGCCTTTATATTTCCCATAATAATAACTCCATTCCAAATTAATATTATGTCTGTTAAGGTAGAAGCTGGTGCCAAAATAATTTTAAAATTAAACTACCGTAATTTAATATAGTTAATTAAAAAACATTGTGAACGGTCTCACTTGTATTAGTATAACTTTTTAATTTTTTTTTAACACTTTTTCAACTATTAGGAACGAATGCGGCGATAATACCACACAATACGTGGCATTTAAAAATGTAGCATAAACATTGAACATGCTGCAAAACAATGAAAATTGGATAGATATAAATGTCTAAAAGCGCCAGTTTTTTAAAGGATTTACTTGGCGCTTTAAGCGAAATTAACCGATTTGCTTTCGGTTCGCTGCGGATTTCGTCATTAAAAAAATATCAATAGTAAAATATTCATAGCATTTATAATAATTAACAGTACATTATAGGATTTACCATGCCAAATATGATTTTTATTGGAAATAGTCGAGAAATAAGGAGGACACGGTAAACTTAATGTTCTTCTTAACAAGCCGTCAGGCCGAACGAAACAAATTAGCACAAAGTGGCGAATTTACGCACAGGCACAACAGGCCTGGGACGCCAAATTTTGAAAATCAATAAGTTAAAAATATTGAAGTTAAATAAAAAATATTATTAAAAAAATTTCTACTCTACTTAAAAATAATGGTTTTTAATTTTAATTAATTTAAATTCTTTAAAATCGAACAAAAATTGTCATTCGATCTGATAAACCGATCAGCCAATTATTCAATTAAATGGGCCCATTTTTTAAAAATCGCCACCTTGTCATGTCAGCGCCATTTTGTTTAAAGCACGGATATATTATCCATGGTTTAAAGCGCGTTTTCGCATCGAAAAAACGATTTTGCAAGTATTGAACACGTCGTTAAGTATTGAAACGAACTTTTTTACAGACTGTTATTAATGGAAATGCATTTTTCTAATATTACATCACATAAATGTTAATAAAGAATGCACTTCATAAATACGTGTTAAAGATGTTGCTTTTATTTTAATTCAGTTTTCGAAAACTATTACAAAATTTTGGGCGACAAATTACAAGCTATTCAGAAAGCTTAATCCGCCACTGAAGCTAACATAAAAAATTCAGCGAATTTCATTTTTACAATCCAGATGAAACGACGTCAAATGTAAATGACATTAAGCATATGAACTGAAGTTGTTGTCTTAATCATTTTATCGATTGGCGTTTCTAAGGATGTAATTAAATTTGAACTAACGTTAATTAAAAATCTTCATTTAAATGACACATACTTAGTAAATCTTAAACACATGACAGTACACATGTAAAAACATAGGTAGGTAATAAACTTTCAATTCACACACACACACACACACACCATGCGCTTGCAAGCACTTAACACACACACACAAACACAGAGAGAGAGAGAAAGAAAGAAAGAGAGAGAGATAAAGAGAGAGTTGCTAATCAAAAGAACTAATGAAGAATATGAAGAATATTATTACAATCAATACTGCAACTATTATAATCATTATTAGGAATCGTCTAATGTTTGTCCTGAAAGTTATTCGGTCTTTTGCTTTTAGCAGGAGTGCAGTGAATATTACTATCTCGAATATTATCACCACAGTTATTAGCACCTTAATAATGTTATTGTTGTTGGATACGAACTGACTGATTGTATTATAACCAAAAAAATTATTTTTATCATCATTTTCGTTTGGAGAATATTTCTTAACTTTGTCTGCCATGCCTATAAGAAAATATTCAAATAATAAATCAATAGATAATAACACAAAATATAATTAAACAATTGGTATTTAGGCAAAAGTTGGAAAAATTATGTATAAGGGATGTAGTTTGAAATTTTCGAAAACCATTTTATAGTTATAAAATTTGTTTTGTTCATAGTTCTTTATATCGATAAAATATTCAAATCACACAACCAGTTTTTAAAATCATTCGTTTGACATTCATTCTGTTATCTATCAAAGCTTCATTATTTCAATTTAAACTATTTTCATTCGCTTGTTCTTTTAATTAATGAAATAAAATTTTGTTCGTTATACTAACCATTCGTTCATTCAATCATCCATCCATCCACTCACTCATCTATCCAACTTATCCATCTTTCCATCCAATAATCCATTGGACATTCATTACTTGCCTCTGGGATACACGAAGCACGTCATCTGGACAATGGCTGGCTGCTTGGATGTGGATACTTTGGATGGGGGTAACTTAGGTGCAGATGATTTTGGTGATGGTGAGGAGGATGAAGAAGATGGGAAGGAGGGTAACGATGATTTGAGCTCTGGAAACCTCAACACAGCTCCTTCAACGTATAACTGATCGTCTCTTAAAACACTCACTCTATTTTGTGGCTTGAAAAATTGTCTGTACTTGTAAAAAGTACCCGATCTCGAAACATCTTTCTGCTCGTAGAGACACAAAAATGAGCCGGGTGAAGAATCTTCAGTCAACTTGCAGACACAGAAGTTAGAAATGTCTGTACGTTGAATAAAATAGAATAAAAAAAAAGTTAGGATAAAACAGGAATAAAATGGAATGAAATTGTAAGTTGTGTACATGTTTATTATTTTATAACCGAGAATCCCTAATACTTTCTAATTATATTTTGCATCTTCCGGATTAAGCCATTTTCTAAAAAGCAGATCTCACATGGCATAAAATAATTTTATACTTATAATTAAACCTTCGTGCCATAAAGGCAGCACTATCCACACCACACGACGACTGACACACAAATACACAAAATCTTTGAGTTTCGCATTCGGATCAGCAGTACTGGAACCAGGCCCTCGAGTAGTAAAAGCGGGACACATGGCACTTCTACTGACTGAGCTAAATTATCTCTCTCTTTATAAATATATATACATTATGTATATAATATATATATATATACATACATACATATATATATATATATATATTTATTTATTGGGTTTAGACTATCATAAATACAATTATTTATCAAACTGAGAAACTCAACTACAAGTTTAATAATGCCGAAAAAGCAGTGATCTTTATAAATAATTGTATATACTTTATGTGTATATATATATATATATATACATATATATATATATATATATATATATATATATATATATATATATATATATATTAAAGGAGTAAACAATAAACCGTGATAATCTGCTTCTACATCATTATCCCCTTTGACGACATTGTGTTCCACTTTTTTAATTTTGTGGCCACCTTCTTCCGGGTAACCAAGTTTTTCATTTCTACCATCACTAACGTTATTACTACCATTGTCGTTGTTTCCACCATTGAATCCGTAGTTGCCAGTACTATAATGGACATCGTCACCAATATAACCGACGTTGCCTAATGTGTCAAATAATCTTTTTCTGATCAAATAATTTGTTGAGTGATATATGATGTAGATGATGAATGAGGAGGATAGGATATGCAACAAGCATTGCAACCATGGGTCCAAAAGTGCAATCGCAAAGACTTTACAATTTTTGCTGATCATTGTGCTACAACTTTAATTGACAAAAGATCTGATACTCTAAAATAAAGTTATCAAAAAATAAACGACGTGTTTTTAAATAATTCCGAACAGAACATAACTCGGGTAAAAAGCAAAATCGAAGGTCTCCATCCTAGATGTTAATTCTAAATGACTGACCGTGACCCCAACAAAAAAGTTTCTATCTGATTGTAAAAGTGTAATAGTAATAGTGTAGAGTTGTTTTGTATCAAATCGCAATTATGACGTAAAAATCATTCGAAAGAACTTGCACCGAAATGAGATCTCCAATTCAACGTTTGGTTTGTCAGAAATGCATAAACTAAATGAGTAATTTTTATTAAAATAAAATCTATACTAGGTGATCAGATTAGCTTTATACCGTCCTATGCATTAGGTATATATGTAACACAAATTGACTGGAAGTTTTACAAGATTTAACAATTTCAATTTAATTAACATAAAATTTGTAGCTGACCAGACTGACTACCTTGTAACAGAAACATAGGTATATTAAAATGTGATCTAGAACTAAACGAAGTAGCAATCAATCATCATTGAAGAATTATTCTTTCAACCAACCTTCAAACTAAATAAAAATTCAAACGCGGGCTATCAAACGGAAGTCTCTGAAACATCGAAACAATGTTGGTATATTGTAACGGTTATTTAACAACAAATAATAAATTGTTTATTATTTGTTGTTAAATAGTTTTTAATTTATTTTAAAAATTATAACATAAACGTGTTATTGATTATTTATTTTGTACGTATTTGAGGCTAATTTAAAGAATAAACTATAGCAGTTTTTTTTAATTTACTTCAATCCACTTTTAAAATTTTACCTGTTTGTTAATAAATTTAAAAGTAAACCTCCATCGCATCGATTTGGTTGAGACATGCAATTAAATTGCTCACTTTTTAAACTGAGATTAAATGCGACTGTGGAATCTTTATTCCGATTTTAATTTATTTTAACTTTAAACATTATTCAAATATTATTTTTTAACCTAATCGGCAATTAAAATTAAAAAAAAATTAAATTGAAATTAATCTCTAAAACTAACTGGTCTCTACTAAAAATTAAAAAAGATAAACTAAATTACTAGACTGACTCTAAACTAAAGCATAGCTAACTAACTGCTGCCATGTTCAAAGTAAATAACAGCAGCAACCACAATGGTGGTGGAGCTTTGGTGGTAAGCAGCTTGAAGCAGAAGATGCAGACACTGAGAGAAGAGCTGGAGAGGTACAAGGATCTGTACGACGACAAATGCAGAGAAGTCAATAGGGAAAGAAGTTTAAGGAATGACGTCAGTGTCTTTTTCAAATAATTTTATTTAATATTTCTATTTTAATTTAATTCTATCTTTTATTTTCATCCATTCCAACTATTTTCTGATTTTTATTTCTTAAAAAAAATATTTAAATTTATTAAATACTTAATTTTAATTTATTTTAATTATTACCTTATCAATCACGTTTGCTTTAGTAGTTATATTTATTATGTTAACAAGAACTTTGGAATTTATTATAGAAAATATCCTTTAATTTTGTTTTTCCATTTCTTTCATGAACACATCCATAGACGGAATTAACTTGATAACTAGACAGAACATTTGGTTGAGTAAGGATGAATTGAGTAAGGATTAATTGATAAATTGTTTTTTACAGGCGGAAAGTCAAGTGATGGCACTGACAAGACGCGTTGAACTCTTGGAAGACGAGAGAGATGAGATGGACAGGCGCTACAGTTCGGTGCTCAACAAACTAAACGACGCCTCGAAGGTCGTCGACGAGTTCGAAAGGTTGAAGATATCAAACGAATGCTTCAAAAATTTGGATGATGAAAAAATTTCCTCACTAGAGGATCAAATTAGAACTCTTCGACTTGCTGCAGACACTGCTGAAAAAAAATATGACGAGGTAGCAATAAACGACATATATTTAATTTTTTTTCTTAAACAGTAATTGTTAATTGATGGTTTGGAACAGGCTCTAGAACATTAAAAAACATTTTTTAACAATAAAATATAATCGTTATTATTATTATTTATAATTTTGATGAATAAATATATGTGATCTTTGGATTGGAATGAGTTTAACTCGATGTCCTTCCTGCCTAGGCTGTAAGGCACCTTCACATGCTGGAGTTGGAACTTGGCAAGTCCGAAGAGAGATGCGAATTGGCTGAGAGGTATCACTAATTTTTAATTAATTAGTTAATTAATTAATGTTATTATTTTAATTTGGTTAATAAATTATATTTTTTTTAAATAATTTTAAATTTATTATCAATATTATGGCTTTTTCTCATAATTTTTGTCAATTGAAAAAGGTTAACCGCAAAAAATTATTGCTATCAAAGTCATTGCAGAATGTCGTAATTATGCTAAATTATGAAAAAATATTGTGGTTCCATTTGATTTTAATAATTAATACAATTATTATTATTATTATAATTATTATTATTATAATTTTATAATTCTATTATTAAAGCAAGGCCAGGCAGCTGGACAACAATCTGCACATATTAACATCGAACCTAAGATCACTCGAGATTAGTGAACAGACTGTTAGTAATGATACAATTAATAATAATAATCATAATAATAATTGTTATTATGGAAATATTACTTTTAATATTATTATTGTTATTATTATTAAAAGTAGAAGTAGTAGCAATATGAGTGATATGAAATTAATATTTAATTATTCGTTTACATTTTATTATGTGTAAATATAATTTTTACTGTAATTACTACTGATTTCAACCTGATTAATCTTCAGAGGTATCAACAACACATTTACTCACACACGCACACACACACACACACACACACACACGCACGCACACACGCACATACATACACACACATACACACAAACAAACAAAGCGCATGCGAGTGAATATGCACCACATACAAATGCCTATGGTAGGCAGCCACGGGGATTTCTTTGCAATCAAACCTAGGTTCCTGCGCTAGTGAGACCAAGCGCCTTGACCATTTCACCATCTCCTCGTCTGTTAATAATGTAATATAAATAATATAAATATAACAATCAGTGGCGGATCTGGGGCGAGGGTCTTGCGTTGTGGTGGGTAGTATTTTTCAGAAAAGTCAGTAAGATAAGTTTTTAAGTTTTTGCACAGCAGACAAAGCCCTGTTTTATGTAGATAATCTATAATCCAATAAAAAAAGGTCGCTAGTCTAATTTTTGCTACACGATCACGACAAATAATCTTAGCCCCACCACCGTCAAAATGTCAACATTTTTTAAAAGTTTTCAAAATTTTGCCCTCCCCCAGTCTTAGTTGTCGAGACGGGCCGCTGATAACAATTGATGTTATTGTAATAGAAATGTAATGTAATGTTAATGTAGCTAGCAAGCAAGGAGGACAGTTACACGTCAACGATTGCAGACCTGAGGAGGAGTCTGAAGGAGGTTGATGTCTTCTGGCTTCTCTTTTAGTTGCGAATTCTCATTTTCATCATCGTCGTCATTATCAGTCATCATTAGTATCATTGTCATACCTTTTCGTCATCATCATCTAACTCATCTTCATCCTCATCATCGTCATCATCATCACCATAATTTCTCATCATCGTCATCATCACCGATCTTACTTACAGTCAGAAATGTGCATTGATGTTTTGAAGCGGGAACTGAAATCAAAGCAACAAGAATTGGATAAGTCGGAAGGTAAGTTGGTGAAGGAATGAATGTATTAATAAATAAATGAATGAATGAATGAACGAACGAAGGAGTGAGTGAGTGAATGAATGAATGTGTCAAAGAATGAATGTTTTAATTATTAAATTAAGTAATTAGTATTAGATGAATCTATGCTTGATTCAATAAATGAACGAATGAAAATGATAAAATGAAAAAATGAACAAGCGAATGAGCGAACAATTAGAATTTTAATTTGTTAACGATAGATTTTCATTCTTCTCTGAACTGATTCAATCAATATTTTTGTAACCCTTGACTCTCGTAACTATCAACACCGATGTTATAACTTCAAAGATCTCTGTATTTCCAAAACCAGTCTTGTAGCTTCCAACGATCGTCAAGTGTTCGTTCATCCCTAGTTTCGAGATTTCCGATAGATGAACACAACTGCTTCAAACGCAAACGCCGTTTAAAGTTTATTTGAATACCAACAGTAATAGAAACAATAAACCAATCCAAGTAACTACATAAATCACATTTACGACTTCGCTTTCTCCGCTGGAAACCTGACTTGTAAACCTAACTGCAAAACATGACTGTTTTCTGTATCTGCGCAGAGCCTATGTATTATAGGCTGATTTTTACGATCAAAAGATTACAAATATCATTTTACGATCCTCTATCTAAAGATTACAAATATAGTAAATATAACCATGACTAAGATAATAATATAGCGCAATTTGATCATTTCGGTGGTTATAGCAATATCATAGCGGCTGACAGATATTTAAAATCAGACTATATAGTCTTTGCAATAGCACAACAGGCGCTGCGTCTCACAAATCGCCCTGTCGCCCTTTTAAACTCTGTCTCAAACTCTTTCCCAATTTCAACTTCTAAATAAAATTATTTCTAAAAAAATATAACATTTGCCTGATAATTGGGTGAAGCGGTGGTGTAGCGGTAAAGTGCCGGGCATTTCTGTTACGGCGACCTGATTCGATCGCTGAGAGATTCGGTTTATTTTTATAAAATTAATAACCTTATTATAAAAATGATGTTTCAGAGAACTTCAACGAAATGAGGGAGGAGTACAAATACCTCAGGGATGAGTTAGACTCCTGCTATAAAGAGCTTAATTCTTTGTGAATTTTTATAAAATGATAATAATTATAAAATGAATTATAAAATAATAATAATTCATTTCAATCATATTTTTGTATCGGTACAATAGAATGTAGAATGCATGCGTTCTATATACATTTAATTCCTGATTCATTTTTTGATTATTAAAATTAATTTCTTTGATTTATTCAATTTTTTTAAACTTTCTGATTTTACATAATAACAATAATAATAATTTTTTTGGTGTTTAATTAATTCATAATTATTATTAACATTTTTATTATTGTTGTTGTTTTTTAGCCATAATTAGCCGTAGTTATATATTTACTTAAAGTTTGTTGTAACTTAATGTGTTTGATATTTATACGGATGAAAATTATTAATTGTTGGTTCTAATTATTTTTATTACTATACTTTTTGTTATTTATGTTATATACGTTTTTCTTGCAATTCTGGTAACTTTCCGCCATCAAAAGACTTCCTGGTTTATTTTTCAATTTCATTTTTTCCGTACTTGTGCGTCTGATTAACTTCCTGACCTCCTCCATCGAATCGATATTTCAGTTGAATCCAATCAACATTTTAATTTTTTTCAAAAATTAATTAATTTCTTATTAAAAATATTTTTGTCTAAGCCAATCAAAATGATTCGTGTAAATATTTCTCGAAATATCTTTAACCCTATTCTATTTTTGGAAATAAATATAAATATATTTTTATTTTGTCTTTTATAAACTAATAAAACCGAATTCATGAATTCTAATACAAATTTTCATCAGAGTTTAACCTACGCATTCACAGACCATCAGACACACTCATACAAACACATAGATATACACATTTATTCTCCGAAATATCAAAAAACATACAGCATATATAAATACATATGAAACCAATCAACCTTTAAATTTCGGCGTACGATAGCCTAGAATGCCTTGAAAAATTCGGACCTTACTACGATGCAAGATCTAGCGCCATTGCGTCCGATTTAGGCAAATATATATGTCACTAAGACATCTCTTTGTAATTCCAAACATACAAATACGGAGTTACAAAGGGAAGTTCCGTATTGACACTTGAAGAACTGACCCAGGATGGAGACCGCGGGAGAGATCCCGTGAAGATCTAAGTACGTCTAAGTTCATCACCTGTCACACAGGTGATGAACTAACACGTACACAGACTCACATAATTTAATTGACGATAAAAATATTTTTTTCATACCTTCCTGGCTTTATCTCTTCCTAACTATCAGCTAAACCAGGAAGATAAAAAAGGAAAAAGAGATTAGAAAACATTGAGGCCACAATGCTTTTGGCTGAAGGAGGAAATACATTTTTCACACAAAAGTTTTTTGAAGACCGTTTCATTGCACGCATACCTATTATGGTTTGGAAACCAAACAACGATAACAGAAATAACGTTAATAAAAAGAAAATAACAATGGCAATAATATTATCATCACTAATAATAAAATAAATAAGCAGTATTCTCGACAAAAAGAAATATTATTAATAATAATGACGCTGGCTAAGATTTGAATATCCGCTTAACTGTTCCACATATATAGAATATATTATGATTATATTGCGAATTCTACACTCATATGTGTATTCATATGTGTTATATATATATAATTCATCTTAGAGTTTCTTGGCCCTGGGATAATATTTCTGGATGATGTCCTGCGGGATCCTCTTCAACATCTCCTTCGGGAAGATTCTGAACAGCCTCCAGGCCAGGTCCAGGGTTTCAAATATCGATCGGTTTTCTGTGCAGGCTGTCAATCAAGTGCGTGTGTGTATGTGTGTGCATGTGTGTCGCGTTAATCACACTCACACACACACACACACACACACAACATATATGATATGCATATCATACACACACACATATATAAATAAATATATATATATAATATATTATAATATATATATATATATATATATATATATATATATATATATATATCAATCAATCAATCAATCTTCGTTTTGCGTCCAGAGACCCGGTTTCCCGAGGTAGGACGTTGTTTTCTTTGCCATCAACTTTTTGCGCCAAATCAGACGATCAGTTGTATCCATTTCATTTAAATTTAGAGCTTTCATGTCTTGCTCGATTGTTTGCGACCAGGACTTCTTTGGACGGCCTTTGGGACGTATGTCAGGTACTTCAACATCTGCAAGAGAAGTTATGGCACTATTTCGTTTGACATGACTAAACCACCGCAGACGGTGTTGCCGGCATTCGTCCTTTATATCATCTAAACCAGCACGACGCAGGATTTCGGTAAATTTGATGTGGTCCTTCAGACAAATTCGTTGCATCCATCGGGGCGTTTTCATGTCGGTTCATTGAAGTTGTTGTTCCAGTTTGGTTGTCATTGGCCATGTTTCTGCACCATATAACAAGACCGGACGTATCACAGATTTATAAAGTCTTGATCGTAGTGGTAGCGGGATGTCACGCCGCATCAATATAGAGGCAAGGAGATGCCATTTATTTCAGGCTGCACGTATGCGTGCTCGAACGGCAGCTTCAGCTGTTCCAGTACAATCCAGAGCATCCCCTAGATATTGAAACGATGTGACTTTTTCTACCTTAATGGCTTCAAAAACATTGCTATTTCGAATGTGTTGTTGTGGATTGATGCAAACAGGACAAACAAAATTGGACACTTTAAATAAAAAACCAATTATTTTTGAACAACGTTTGTGACACAACTGGTTACACTGCTGACACTTGATTGAATTGTTACCTACACCAGCTTTACAAACTGAACAGGCAGTAGCTGTGGATTGGATTGGTTCACCAGTGTTCATTGCTTTGGTTTTGCTGATGTTGACTTTGAATCCATGATCGGCGAGTCTGGTGTTCCAATCTTCAAACATCTGTTCTGCATTCTGCTCAGACGTGGCTGTTAAAACGTTATCATCAGCATATAATAGAATCCAAATGTCACCAGTGCGTATCGGTTTTGTGATTTCTTCCATCACAGTTATAAATAACAGTGGACTGAGAATCGAGCCTTGGTGGACTCCAACGCCGATGTCAAATGCATCTGTGTTTCCAACCGTTGTGCTGATATGTATATATATATATATATATATATATATATATATATATATATATATATATATATATATATATCAACTGGTCAGCCAACAAACCCTGTGCAAGGAACTTCTTCTCAAACTGATCGAGAAACTGGAGGTAGAGGAGGTCTTCCGAACTGAGCACCTCCTCCCCCATGACCCCCTTCATGGCTTGGATGTCCTTCGCCATGGCATACAAGGCGTACTTTGGGGTCGATGCGTTTGTGGTTATGGTGATGTTTGCTTGTTTGTTTGAGGTGGTTGTTTATGGTGGTTTTTTGTGGTGATTGTTTGTTTGTGGTGGTTGTTTGTTTGTTTGGTGGTTGTTTGTTTGTTTGTTGCTGGCGTGAATGTTGCTGTTATTCATCTGTTGTATATTTAGCGTCGATATTATGCAGTTGTTTGATGTTGTGGTGGCGAAAAAGAATGCCTATTGTGAATTTGTGCTGTGCATTTTTGTTCATTCATCATAATCGCCATCACCCCATCACCATTATCAACATCACCCCCATCATCATCACCACCCCATCATCATCACCATCAACACCACCACCATCATCATCACCACCAATTGATTTGAAACGTCGGCATGGTCCTCCCTTGTCATGTTGGCCCCCACCGCTGACTTCATGAGGCGTGATAAGGAAGGCAGGACGTTTATTGGTGGGTAGATCTGATGGTGATGATGACGATGATGATGGCGATGATGATGATGATGAAGACGACGATGATGACAATGACGAAAGGATAAATAACTGCAATAGGAAAACTAGAAGATCGTGTGTTTAATGAACACATAAGCACATTAAACACACAAACACACGCACGCACATACAAACACACACATATACACATACAAACACACACACATACACATACAAACACACATACATACACATACAAACACACACACATAAACATACACACACAAACACACACATACACACACAAACACATACACACACCGACCTGATGGTTATGCAGTGTCCTATCAACGTATATCTGCCCTTCAGTTATGTAGCCACTCAGGTCAGCAATTGGGTGAGTGATGTCTTGTGTGGATGGACGGATGGATAGATGAATGAATGAATAGATGGATGGATAGATAGATGGATGGATGAATGGATAGATGAACTGATGGTTGGTTGGATGAATAGATTGTTCTCGTCATGATTGAGAATGATTAAATAGTAAAACAAGTAAATGATAGATAACTATCATCATCTTCTCACATCATCACACATTCACCCACACCGTCACACCACCACTCACACCATCACACATTCACCCACATCATCACACCACCACCAACATCATCACACCACCACCCACATCACCACACCACCACCCACATCACCACCCACACCATCATCACATATCCACCATCGTTAGGCATGGTGATGATGGGGATCTGAGTGACAGATCCATTCCTACCCTGGACCATGCCAGCCCTCTCGTAGAGGGTGGCTAGGTCGGAGTACATGCTGCTTGGGTATCCGCGTCTTCCTGCTACCTCCTCTCTTGCCGCTGAAATCTGTGCGGTTGTGGGTGTGAGTGTGGTAGCTACTGTTGCGGTTTACGTAGTTGTGGTGGGTGTGGTAGTTGTGGTAGCTACTGTTGCGATTTGTGTGGTTGTGGTGGGTGTAGTAGTTGTGGTAGCTGCTGTAGTGCCTTATGTTTTGATTAAAAGTAAAACAAGCCAGTTGATCTGCAGACAAACCCAGCAATCAAGCATTCATCCAACAAAGCAACCACTTAATCAACCAAGCAATTCAATCACTCAATTACACACACAATCAAACACATAACAATCACACATTTAAACATACAGTCACACAAATAAACAATCGTCGACCAATCAACCACACAATTGCAAAAACAAAAACACACACACAAAAACACATACACACACACAACACACACACAACACACACGCACAAACACACACATACATACTCAACACACACACATACACATACAAACACACAACCACCAACCTCCCTCAAAGCGTCGGCGTATGACGTCATATCAGTCATGATGACGAGAACATCCATGTCACATTGGTAGGCCAGGTACTCTGCCATGGTCAGGGCGAGGCGAGGCGTTATGATGCGTTCTATCCTAGGTGTTAATTGGTCGGTTGATTGGTCAGTTAATTGGTCGGTTGATTGGTCAGTTAATTGGTCGGTTGATTGGTCAGTTAATTGGTCGGTTGATTGGTCAGTTAATTGGTCGGTTGATTGGTCAGTTAATTGGTCGGTTGATTGGTCAGTTAATTGGTCGGTTGATTGGTCAGTTAATTGGTCAGTTGATTGATCAGTTAATTGGTCGGTTGATTGGTCAGTTAATTGGTCGATTGATTGATTTGATCGTTAATTGGTTGATTGATTGATTTGTTTGTTAATTGGTTGGTTGACTGAATGATTGGTTAATTTGTTGATTGATTGGTCAGTTAATTGGTCGGTTGATTTGTTTGTAAATTAGTTAAATGATTGATTGGCTAATTGGTTGATTGATTGGCTGATTGATTGGACGGTTAATTGGTCGATTGGATTGATTGATTTATATTTTAATTGTTTGAATGATTTATTGGTTATTTGGTTGATTGATTGGCTGGTTAATTGGTTGACTGACTGGTTTGGCTGGGTAATTGGTTTATTGATTGATTGATTAATTAGTTGTTTGATTGATCAATCAATCATATAATAGCAAATACAATCAGCATGGAAGCCACCAACGTTGGATCACTTGCCATGTTCATGAAGATGCACGTGTTTGATAACGAACCACTTTCTTCAAAATGATCTTTGAAGAACTGAGCTGTTCCCATATCAATCTGGCTCATTCATTTATTCATTCATCCATTCATTCATCTATTCATTCATTCATCCAACCATTCATTCGTTCTTTCATTCATTCATTCATTCATAATTTATGCATTTTTTTAATCAATCGTTCGTATCTTCATTAATTCATTAATTCAATCCAGCATTTAATAATCTAATCATTTGGTCAACCAACCAATCATTGTACGTTCATTCATTCATTCTGATTCATTCCAATCACATTCAATCACAGCCAATCACAACCAATCACATTCAATCATAGCTAATCAAGCTCAATCAATCACAACCAATCACATTCAATCACAGCCAATCACAACCAGTCACAACAAATCACAATAAACTCCACAAACCAACCCCCATAGCGGCAAAGACGATGGCGTACTTGCTCTGACCATCTACCACATTCCCTTTAGGTTTTTTTGATACCAGGCCACTTTGAGAGCAAATCTGAGCTGCTATCTTATTGGTTGGTTTATTATTTAAATCGTTCACTCATTCATTCATTCATAAATGCATGCATGCATACTTTCATTCATTCCTTCATTCATTCATTCATACACTCACCTCACACTCATTTATTTATTTACCCACCATTCATTCACTCACCCACTCACTCACCCACTCACTCACCCACTCACTCACTCACTCACTCACTCACTCACTCACTCACTCACTCACTTCATTATGTGGCAGGCCAGTAGCGGAGAAAATTGGGATCTTCTGTCCCTTGGCGATGGTGTTCATGCAGTCGATAGCCGAGATGCCCGTTTGTATCATCTCACGGGGGTATATCCTTGATACAGGGTTGATGGGCTGACCTTGTTTGTTTGTGTGTTTGTTTGTTTTACGCTGTGTTTGTTTGTTTGTTTGTGTGTTTGTCTGTGTTTGTTTGTTTTACACTGTGTTTGTTTGTTTGTGGGTTTGTTTGTTTTACGCTGCGTTTGTTTGTTTGTGGGTTTGTTTGTTTTACGCTGTGTTTGTTTGTTGTTATTAACTTGTGTTTGTTTGTATCATGTTTTATCTGTATGTACAACGTTGTGCTTGTTGATACTATGTTTTGTTTGTTTGTTGATGCTATGTTTTGTTTGTTAGTTGATATTAATTTGTATATGTTTGTCGTGATATGTTTTATAAGGTTGTGTTTGTTTGTATTATGTCTATGTTTGTTCATTTGTATCGTGCATGAATGTATGAAAAAATGAGAAATAAATGAATGAATGACAGATGATTGGCCGACAAAAAAATATTGAATGCATGCATGCAAGCAGCATTAACGGATGAATGAATAGATGAATGAATTAATAAATGAATGAATGAATTAATGAATGATTGAATGAAGGAATGAATGAATGAACTCAGCCAACCAATGATGTCCAAATAATCTTCAGCGACAATGTTGGGACCTTTGTCTATTGGCTGCCCTGAGCCATTGAAAGTACGACCTTAGTTGATTGGTTGGTTGATTGATTGAATAAATGGTTGGTTGATTGATTGATTGAGTAGAAGGTTGAACCCTTTATTCAATCAATCAATCAATCATTCAATCAATCCTTTACTCAATCAATCAATCAACCCTTTATTCAATCAATCAATCATTGAATGAGCGATTAAATGAATAGTTGATTTATTGATTGATTGAATAAGTGGCTGATTGATTGAATAAATGATTTGTTGATTGAGTGAATGTTTTAACGACTGAATGATGAAATTGTTGATCAGGTGAATGTTTTTCGTTGTTAAATGTGCAAATAAAATAATAACTGATTGATACTTTATTTCAAAATTTTGTTTGCTTATAAACTGTCTAGTGAATCAATAGTGAAAGAAATTGTTCCACCAATCAGCTAGATACACTCACCTACAGGCAAATAAACAATTCTTCGCAGTCTTATCAACCATTCCATTACTCATCACATTCGTCAACCGACCAACCAACCAACTAGCCAACCAAATAGCCAACCAACCAACCGACCAACCATCCAATCAACCAACTAAACAACCATCCAACCAACCATCCAACCAACTAAACAACCATCCAACCAACCGATCAACCAACCAACCATCCAACCAACCAACCGACCAACCAACCAACCATCCAACCAACCAACCAACCGACCAACCAACCAACCAACCATCCAACCAACCAACCAACCATCCAACCAACTAAACAACCATCCAACCAGCTAACCCAACATATCAACCGAGACACCCATCCTCATAATGTCCCCACTGAACTCGATGGATGTGTTCTTCACATCAATCCCTATTGTACCCTCAAATACCTACATTCGTTGAGGTATTCATTCATTTCCTTATCCATTCATTCACTTATTAATTCATTCAATCATTCATCCATGCGTAAAAATTAAATTAATAATTATTACAATTATTATTATTATTATAACCGGACCTGGACGACAGCCTTCGATCCAACTATCTCGAGGACCTGACCGTGCCGGACATCCCCGTTATTCAACGTCAACTTCACTATCTCACTAAATTTAGGGAACTATTTATAAAGGTTAAAAGGTTAAAAGTCAATATCTTTCGTGCACTTCACCATCTCACTAAATTTAGGTGGAACTTTATAAAGGTTAAAGGATTAAAGGTCAATATCTTTCGTGCGCTTCACATCTCACTAAATTTAGGGTACTATTTATAAAGGTTAAAGGTCAATATTTTTCGTGCATTTTCCTTCAGAGGTTTCAACTACAAACAAGCCCAGTGTATGTACGCCCGTGAAAACCATAGATGGAAAACAATAATAAATAAATAAATATAAAATAATAATAATAGAAGTAGTAATCATAAAAAAAGAATCATAATAATAGCATCTATCTCATTATCCCAATAAATTTAAGGAACTATTTATAAGTGGAAAACAAAAATAATTTTCTGGGCGGCATGATGGCTCAATGGTTAAAGGCGCCTGGTCTTGCTGCTGCAATGACTGGGTTCGAATACAAAGAGATCCCCGCCTATCATACGCAATGTGAATGATGCGTGGTTAACACGCGTATTCATGTACGCTGTGTGTGTTTGTCGTTGAAACCTCTGAAGCAAGCTCAAGAGAGAGAGAGTAACCTTTTACCTTTAAAAAAATACAAAGTAATAATAATAACAATAATCATAATAATGAATATAATAATAGTAATAATAATAAGAATAGGAATAATAACAAATCATAATTAACCAAACCTTAACATTTTCTACAATGACAAGAGGCCCATTGACAGCTGAAACAGTTTTATAGACTGCAAATAAATATAATTATAATAAAATAAAATAATAATAATATCAATAAGTATTATTAATAATAATTATTAATACAAGGGTGTCAAATGTAGAGATAAATAAATAAATAAATCAATTAATTTTATTAGTTTTAATTCTTTCTTCTTCTTTCTCGTGCCTTATCCTTTCAGGACATTGGCGACCATCAACCTTTCCACAAAACCTGATCTTTAACTCTTTCAACACTTTTTTAGTTACGATATAAGCTTAAGACAACAAAATTGCAAATCCTTAAAACTTCAAACAAAATTGTAGTTTTTATAATTCTATGATATAAAGATAAACTGAAATACAAATAAACGCTAATAAGAACAAATATTATAAATATAAATTATTGTATTTTTTTAAACTTTGAAAATCACATGACATACTCCTCACCATTATTAAATTTAAGATGAAAATTTTTGAATGTGATAAATGAAATTGATAAACTCTTTACTTTATTCACTACTAAACTGGTCTTAGTCTCCAGAGGAAGAATTAATTATCAGAATTTTCATTATTATTAATATTGTTTGTTCTTATTAACTTGTAATTAACTTACAATAATTTTTTAAATTCTGACATATTTAAACATAAAAAATTTTTAATTCACTAAACTGATCTTAGGCTCAAGGGAGAATTCTTTAAATGCAGCTAACTTGTTAACCAGAGAGATGGAATGTCTAGAGGCCCTCAAGCCATACTGGTCGGGGGTTTTCTTGGAGGGATCGTTTGTAGCCCTGATCAGTTCAGTTGTGTTCAATTTTTGATTTCAAAAAATATTTAAATTATATTTATTTTGAATTAATATTAATTATATGATTACAAGTTTTTTTCAGTATTTAATAAATTGATAAATGGTATAAAAGCTGTTTTTAATTAAGTAATGATTTTTCTGTTTGAAAAGATATGTATTTGTAATTCACAAACTTCTATGTTTGAAAGCAAAATATCATAAACCAGAGTTAGTAATGTTTATTACTTTATTTTATATTGAAATAAAAAATGAAATATTCAAAATAAATTACAAAAACAGTCTTAAAAATAAATTATTTAAAAACAAAAAGCAGTCTCACTCACATGATGAAATGGTGAAATCTGAAATGAAACTTTATTTCTGGATAGGCTTTTCAATTAAGTTTTAAATATTATATTATAATATAAAAAATATTAAAATTGTATAAAATAAAATTCATACAATTTTTATTTTTAGCAATCAAAGATGTTTAATTAAGATTTATTTATCAGTTCATCATTAAAAATTAATATTTCGACAGTTAATGAACCAACATTTCTCCAAGAAATCGAAAGTGACGAAAAATTATTTTGATCGAATTTAAAATTAAACGTCTTAAAACGTCGATTTAAAAAATGGCGCGTCCAAAATCGAGCTACTTCACCATGAGTGTAGACAAAAACTTCAAAGCAATGTATTATTATATATTATAACAGTTTTGGGTGGTTTAAAAAAATTCTAACTATTTATTTGTTTAGTTTACAATAATTTATTAAAATTTAGTTTTACTAAAAAAAACTTACATAATTTATAGATTGAATTGTTGATAAAACAGTTTTTAAGTTAATTGCTCTGCCGATTGAATTTTAAATACATAGAAACTTTCAATCATTTTGAATTGAATTTTTAGAACATTGACAAAAAAAACTTTTTACGTACACACACATTTTAATTTATAAAAAAAGTGGTTTGATAAGAAATTCAGTAGGTAAAAACTCATTTGAAAAGAAATCCATTCATTAACCGGATAACGTAACAAATAAAGTATTTTATGAAAATATTTAACATATTATATTCTGATCGACGTTTATATCTCATTTTAATTTTGACATCCACAGTTTTTAAATTCATTACAATTCAACATTTTTTACATTAAATTAGGAAGTGAATGAACAAACGAGCGAACGAACCAACGGACGTACGCATGAATGAAAGAACGACAGTTGTTTCATTTGTGTGAGTTTGTAGATGTTTATGAATTTTAAATTTACAAAAGAAATAAATTTTTTGAGGGGAAGTTAATTATTAAAATAATTTATATATCCATGCATCTTTCGTTTGACATCCATATCACGTTTACCACCTGAGGTAATCAGACTTCTGAGATAATTGAAGCTGTTGACTTGTTTCACCAGTTTACTGTTACCAGTTTCATCAGTAGATTGGGGCTGTTTTGCTTTTACTGATAACTATGCACTCTGTTTTGTTGATGTTAATTTGCAAGCCTTTTCTTTCATTTTCAAAAACCGGTTTGGATACAATTTCTTGCAGTTTTTCCATGGATTCCGCTATAAGAGCTGTATCATCAGCATATCTTACATTGTTTAAGTTCACGCCTCTAGTGAATATTCCAGGTAGATCTTCTATCTTTCTCATGATGATCTTACAATAGAGATTGTGCAGGTCTAGAGAGAATTCACAGTCTTGCCTAGCATCTTTCTTTATTTCAACAAAACTAATAATCTTGTTGCCAACACTCATCGCAGCACTCATCGTTCCAATAGAGGTTTTCGATAACTCTCGTGTCTTCTCCATCAATGTCCAAATTTTCCAATATTTCCATAAGCTCCGCGTGTTTCACGCTATCAGAAGCTATGGTTGGAATAATCGACAAAACATATAAACAGGTCTCTTCATTTCAATCGCTGGTTCACTGATCGTTTGTAGCATAAATAGCAAATAACAAATATTCTGTTAATAAATAAATAATATAAAATCTCAAACATAATGAGTATTTCAATGAATAATTTTATATAGTAATTCTTCCTCATCTATATACTAATTCCAGCATTTTGTTAGATTTGTACATGGCGTCACAGTCGGACATTTTTCAACTAACTCCAACTATGGAAGAGTTAAGAATGGGAAAAAGTTTTTTAATTGTTTATTTTAAAAAATTATCAAGCTCCTTTTTTCAAAAGAAATTATGAATATATATATCTATGGAAGAAACATATGCAATCATTTTTAACATCGATAAATTGTTGCAAACCTAACATTTTTTATTTTTAAAAACTGCAAAGCGGTCCTACATTTCAGAGTGTGCCTGAGGTCTATCCATTCTTTTTACATCTGTCTGAAATATTTATTACTAACTATAAATAAAATTTTTAGGATTTTTTATAAGGTGCTTGAAACGCAAAAAAATGTTTATGTAATTGCTATTAAAACTGTTAAATTTGAATAATAATGTAATATAAAGATTTATTGTGAGCTTTCAAATCATAAATTTCATGTTTCATATGTTATAGAATTAAACTCTAATTGTTTCAGAGGTGAGAGATGTAGAGACAGATTGGAAGCATTTGAAATTGAGTGCCACTGAACTATAAATCAGTTGATCAGAGGGAAGTTTGTGAATGAAATCCTAAGAAATCAAACTTGAAGTGTAAGTGTATGTACGTCTATGAACCATCAATAGATAGTGTAATACTAGCTTTTATATGGTATTTTTTTTATTATTCTTTAAAAAATCGAAATCTGACAATGGCAGAATCTGTTAACAACATGCAAGGCAATGTTATAAAATGACAACGCCTATTACCCTATAATATTATATATTATATTATAACGAAGAATTAATAATGGAGTATGAATATTATTGTTATTATGCTTAACTATTTAACAATGTATTGTTATTACGTTATTATTATGTTGTTATTTGTTATTTAGTGTTATTATATAAAATCTGGTTTATTATTTGTTATTATTTGTAATTATTATTAATGTTATTGAGGGAGAAATCATCTTTGAGTTTTATCAAAATACGCACTGGTTGTTCGGTCTAGTTAGGATATGTGTGTATGTTTGTTTGTGTGTGTGTGTATGTTTGTTTGTGTGTGTATGTGTGTGTGTGTGTGTGTGTGTGTGTGTGTGTGTGTGTGTGTGTGTGTGTGTGTGTGTCTATGAGTGAGTGTGTTTGCATTTTGTGTATGTGTGTTTATATGTTTGTGTATGTGTGTGTGTGTGTGTGTGTGTGTTTGGATGACTAATGTGTGTGTGTGTGTTTGAAATTTGTAGATGTGTGTTTGGTATGGTGTTTGGATGAAGTGTATGTTTGTGTGTGTTTGCGTGAGAGGATATGTGTGTGTGTTTGGAATCCCTCGGGTCGGTTTTGTGACTAAATAAATAAATATAAATGTGCGTTAGTGTGTGTATGTATGTGTGTGCTTGTGTGTGTGTGCGGTTTTTGCCATGTTAAATATTTCTAACTCACCAAACATATAAACCACAAAACCACAATGCAGGCCGAAATTGAATGTAAGTAGACAAAAAACATTTTTTCATGGAGGAATGCGAGTGGGAACTTCTGAAATCCGATGATTAGTTTATGGTGTATCGTTTTAAATCGTCTAATAATATCAATGAAAAGACTAAATAAAGTAATAATTATATTTTGTTATAATTTATAATATGATATAATTATATTAATCACCAATTACATGTTAAATCAGAATAAACTAAATTATTTCAATTGTGAAATATAAAAAAATCCGAAATTGGTTAACATTGGTTATTTATAATAAGAATAATAATAATGATGAAAATAATTATAAATAGCAATAATAATAAAAGGAAGAGTATTAATAACAATAGGAATAATAATAAGAGGAAGAATATAAATAATAATAAATGAATAACCTGCTGCTATATGCAAACATTCATTTTCCATTATCAGTTTGTAAAAATGCACTGGCATTTCTCGTGATAAGGAAAACTGGCATTTGTGTGTATGTACAACGAGCCACACTTTTTCAATCCCATTCATAATTTTTATTATTCATTTGTTTATTTATTTGTTCGTTCGTTCGTTCGTTTGTTTATTTGCTTGTTCGTTCGTTTATTCCATTAAAAATAACATGATAATCTTCATTTATTTGTTTATTTGTTATGATTAAAATAAAAGGAATAATATATTATTTATAAAATAGATATTATATTATTAATTATATTTATAATAATAATAATATCGGAAATAAAATAATGTAAAATAATGATAAAAATTAAATAATGGGAAATAAAAAAATAAAATTATGTTGAAATAATGAGTAGATATGAGAAATTAGTCGATGGAATTCCACGAATGTAATCATCATATTCGTGGATAGCTTCAATTTCTTATTCGTTTCGTCACGCTTAGTGCAGTGTTAGCGGAAAAAATTATGACTTTTTTATATTCCGCCTCTCTCTTTCTCTCTCTCTCTCTCTCTCTGTATATCACTCTCTCTCTTTCTCTCTTTTTTTCACTTTCTCTCATTATAATTTTATCTTTTTATCTTTTACTTATTTGTCCTTTCTTTGGTTATATTTATATATCACTCTCTCTCTCCTTTCTCTCTCTCCTTCTCTCATTAAGAAAATTGTTAATCGTTGATGTTCATGGTGAAGCTTATAGGCCATATTTCGATTTTACTCATCATCAGTGCTTATTTATGGCATATTTCAAGGTTTTACAATTCTCTGTGTGTGCAAAATGCTTTTATTCTTCTTTGTCCTGTCCGTTTATGATATTTTTGTTTTGTTAATTCTCTTTGCCTTTGTCGTCATGCCAATATATTCGGATCTATGGTGCCCACACTCACCAATATAACATTTAAACAAATATATTAGATGGCTATGATCCATTATCGATTCTGGTTTACTAGTGCAGTCGTTTTTCATCACCATAGATGACGTTCTTTGGTTGGAGTAGCTTATTCGTAGTTTAATACTATCGTTTTTCCTTCTAATGTATTCGTTCAAATGTAATATGGATGAGTGTGAGCACCATAATTCTAAATATACTGGTATGACGACGACCAAATTATCGAGAAGACTCACGATGCACTTACAAACTGGCGCTATAAAGAATCACATGAAAGAGAAATACAAAACTAAAATTACTAGACAAATCTTGGACCGCAATGTTGAAATCTTACATTACAATAACAACCATTATAATTTACGACTAGCGGAATCAATACTCATAGAACAAAGACATCCGATAATAAATATTCAATAACGGGAAATTGGAATTCTTCTCACTAATAAATTTAGAAACAGAGGAATCATCGATAATGACGACACGTAAAAGTGTTATATCGTACAAAGTTGAAGATCCTTATAACTAATTAAATGAGCGTTAAGTATTCAAATTAAACAAACAAAGAATTAACATTGTAGAGACAGAGACACAGTATATAGTATTATATATATTTGAGCATCTGGCCACATACACAACGTATCCATTCAAAAACCAAAAATGGTATAGGAATACCGAAAAAAGCTTTTTTGTTCTATCATGCATAAAATAAACAAAAATTTCGGTTTTGAACTCAAGAAACTTGAGAATGATTTACGATCAAGTTAACTAACGCTGAACATGCTGTGATTTTCATCAATATTATATATATATATATATGTGTGTGTGTGTGTGTGTGTGTGTGTGTGTATAATAAAAATTGTATATATATCCATAGAGATATATAACAGACAAAAAGCTGGCGTGTGTTAAGAACGCACTTTATCAGTCCGCATTTTTTTTAGTTCGTTTGTCAGTTCGCTGTTTGTTCGTTCGTTCATTCACAAATCTCAAGATGGATGGTTTTATAAATTTCTGCGTTCAATATTTTGTTAGCCTAAAAGCGTTCTTTCTATTTTACTAAAAAGAAGAACAAAATTTTCTACTGAATTATGTTAACTGGGATTATTATTATTTTTATTATAGCAAAGTTGGAAACATTTATTAAACATGTAAATATTAACAAACAAGGTATATCATGATATAACGTACTAACAATAAACTTATAAAAATTTCAACATTTTTTACTAATGAATTTTTATTGTTTTATTTTTCAAATAAAATTCTGCCGCCTAGCCACCGAACATATAGGACTAGTGACTGAACCTTGGAATTAATGCGTTGTTTTGTTTTAACTTAAGCCCCAACAACCAAAAATTGATAGGGCAGTTATATAATGATTTTTTAAATAATGAATTAAATAAGATAGATAATAGTAATTATTGTAAAAATAATGGTTATTTTTAAAAAATCGTGAAATGAAGTTAATATTAGTGAAAGAAGCACTCTGAAAACAAACAAAAATATGAAAAGTTCAAATTCCATTTCAAGAAATCGACCCGAACTGCCAAAACTGTTGATGAAAAACTTTGCAGACAAACAACTTTCAGAAATTGAGAATTCCGATGGGAAAACCTTCGATGTACAGTGTTACATCCACAACCACAACAACTACGACGACCACAACCACAACAATCACAACCACAAAAAAGACGACGTCGAGACAACATCCAGTAACAACAACCTAGTGGCAATTGATAATTCGGATGAAGGTTTCATCGGCAGATGGCATCAGTGTTTCAGTAAGAAGAATTTGTCATCTTTTGACGATTGCGAAGTCTATTCCGAGGGTGGAAATGCTTGCTCCATGAAGCGATCAAACAATGGAAGAAGCTTAAGAGAATCTGACATTCAGAGGTTTAACACCAGTAGCATGTTTTACATTCCTGTTAATTTGAATAAGTCCCAGTTTGCTTTATCGGAAAATGAATCTGCCGCTAATTTTAATTTTCGTTACGGAAAAAAGTTGAAAACTTGCCGTGTATTGCCACTACATTATGCCGAAAAAATTTCAAAAAATTCTGAAATAACCGAAGGTATAAGTTTTAGGCAAAATTCTTTCTTTGAAAATACATCAAACCAAACGAATTCAAATAACGATTCCAATGTTGACTCCATGAAATTTTCACCCAACAAAACTCCATCAATTTTGTCGTTACTGCCTGCCACTGAACAAAAACACGCTTCCTATAATCCGAAATACAGAAAATTGAAAAGATCCAAAAGTGACGTTCCTTGCCCCATGAAGTCTTTTTGTTTGAGGAGACCCAAAACTATTGATAAGTTTGTAGAAATTGCTAGACAATCAAACAACGGATTGAATGAAATCAACACAACCGAATATCTCACAATTGACAAAAAAGTTGACTGCTCAGATGAACAATTCACGGTAAAAAGCAAATTTAATAACATAAATCACATCAAGTTTGCCACCAGACCAAAGAGTTTTTTTGTAGAATTAAACGAAAACAACAAATTGTCTTTTAAAAATTGCTCAAACGTTGAAGAACAAAAACAAAATTCAAAAATAGTGGATCATTGAGATCATTAAATTGTTTGGTCAATGCATCTGCAAGTTCCGAAAATTATTTTCAGATACTTCCTCATAAAGATTTATATTTTATAAAAAATATTACAAATCACAAAATCCAACCACACCACAACTTTAATTTCAACAAAACTGAAGCTGAAAATCTACAAAATGACACACTCCAATCAGGGGATGACAAAAAGAATTTTTACAACTTCAGCCAATGTGGTCAATTTTCTTCAAATTCTCACAATCAAAAAAGCACTGACTATGTTTCTAACGTTAAAAATTTAGATCTAAAGTGTCAAAATAATTTGAATGAACTGTTATCGTTGAAACAGCAGTTTCTAAACAGCAAAGGTTTATGGAAGAAAGTCGATTCTTCAGATTTCTTAAGATCAAATGTCAATTTTTCAGATCTGGACGTTGGGAGTAAGTCTGAAGAGAGTGATACAAATGTACCTTATCGAAGCTTCAGCGTTTCGAGAAACGAATCAATGAGTCCGTGTGCAATGCATGATCAAAATCTCATCCAAAATGCCACCTCAGCTGATCATCAACAAATTCAAAATTTAAAAATCGGAAAAAGGATTGGTGATGATGCTACAAAAAACAAAGAAAACAGTATTATTAAAAGTGCAACCAATAGTGAGAAAAGTTTGAAAAGCAATTCCCAACTTGACACGGAGAAAAATTCCTCTTCGAGTAAGAAAGAGAAAAAGAAATCGAACAAACGTGCCGTGGCTTTCGTTAAGAACGTGCCAGCGTTTTTGATCGGCTTGAAAAAATCTCTGCCGACGCAATCTTCAAATGACAACAGCAACTCCAGCAAAATCTTCCCAAACAACGTCAGCAAAATTCTCTCAAGCAACTCCGACAAGATCCTCCCAAGCAACAACATCAAAAGCACCTCTCATGCACGTAAAAGTGATGATGACAGGAAAAAATCGAATTATGAATTTGATGGTAAAAATGCGCATGACATCAACACTCCAAGTCGAGACCAAACCAACCAATCATCCGTGACATCATCTCCCAGTTTTCTGAAAGACAACATCAACAATTGTAATAATAAAGATGATAGTAATACCAACACAACAGACAACAACCAGGGTGGAAGCATTCCAACACCTTCAACTTTAACCAACAGCTCCATTCCAATAAATGAATGCACACCACCGAGGTCACTTCCAGCTCATGCTGAGATGTCAAGCGGTGACGGAAACTACGTACAGGATGCAAAATCATACTTGAGGAAAGGGAGGAGTGGTCGGACGTCTTTTGCCCCGTCCCTCGAAACATCTTTAACCAACGTTTCTTTGTTTTCACTCAGCTCTCAAGGGACGGTTGGCTTGATGTTTTTTATAATTCAACTTTTTTTTTACTCTCATACGAATTTTTTATTTGCCGTAAAAACTTTTGAGCTGAAATGAAAATTAACGCGAGCAATCGGCAGATGGAGATGAGGCGAGCTTGAAAGAGCAAATCATATTACGTCCTAAATAATGATAAAATAAAGCAAATTCAAAGTTAATATTTTCATTTAAAGTTATTCATCACTAAGTTAGTCTGCACGTAAAATATACCAAAATTATTTATAAGTTTTTATGAACTTTAAAATGTAAATGCGACCTGAAACGTATTCATCAAGAAATCACTCCGGCCAGTTTTCATTAAGTTGGATTTTCACGAGTAAATTACCGCATTTAAAAATATTCTTTGGCATTTGGTCATAAAATTTTTACACAAACAAGTCATTCTAATGTGTTTACGTGAATAAATAATTAAATTTTAAAATGATATATATAGCAATCAGTGGTGGCAAAAAAATAATTTTCTAGAAAAAACTCCAAGAAGTTGAACCTAGTAAAAAGCGGCATTATTTTTCCCTTAGCCTAATATAAAGAAAAAAAAACAAGGAACTGTAGCAATTTTATCCCAAATGTTTGCAGGGTAAGAGAGACCACATCCTGAAGGAGCTGCTGACTACTGAAAAGCAGTACGTGGAGACTCTTCGTATGCTGGTTGAGGTCTGTTTTGCTTGGCTGCTACATAAGTGTGTCGTTATGGAAATATTTAAAAAAATTTTTTTTAGCAAATTTGATTGTTAATAAAATTATACAAATGTATATGATTGGTTGATTGATTGGTTGATCGATTGATCGATTGATTGATTGATATGATCATTAGTTATGATTAACCGATATGATTGCTAATAAAATTATACAAACACAATCAAACAAACAACAAACAAACAAGCCAGGAAAACAATCAATCAATCAGACAAACAAACAGACAAACAAACGAAAGCTTTTAAGACGTATTTATTAGTTAAAAAGATTATTTTCAGATTTGATCATTAATAAAATCTCCCAATGTTACGGAACATAATGTTTAGATGGATTTGACTTATTTCACAAACATGTTTATATTTTTTAAACTTTAAATTGCATTATACAATTGTATATAAGAAGATAATACATTGTATAGTTCCCAGCCAGCAACACTAAAAAATTTACCAGAGATACATGATACCCCTAAAGACCCACCAAACAATAGATAGTGCTCAGACAGATGATATATTTTACAAGATTAACGAAATTTACATGCATCACGCTACGTTCATCACATTCCTTGCAAAGGTTTTCATCAAATAGATATTTTTGTTTATTAATTTATTGGTCAATTATTATTTATCAGATATTTTTTTTATCAATTTGAACTTTCATTAGTTTGTTCATTTTTTGTTCTTCTGTTCGCTTGTTCGTTCTTTCGTTTGTTTGCTTGCTTGTTTGTTCCTTCATTCGTTCATTTGTTTGTTTGTTTGTTTATGCCGGCAGAAAAATTATTTTTCAAAAAAATTCAAAAATTATTACAAATGCAAATGAGTTGTGAGAAGAATAGATTGATAAATTTATTTGAAATGTCTTGTCTTTCACAGGTTTTAAAGAGTTGGGATAGCCAATCAACTATCGGAGATATAGTTCTTAAACATGTATGTGTGTGTGTGTGTGTGTGTGATCGGAATTGTGGTGTGTGTTTTACTCGTTCGGTGTGTGTTGGGTTATGCGTTGTTGTGTGTTGTGCCGTATGTATCTATCACATATTCGCAAATGAGTTGCTTTATCACCGTTCGTAACCAATAGCAACAGATTGACTTGAAACATTTCTAGTTTTACCTAATAAGTACCTGAGAGAATTCATTCAAGATGTACCAAGCCTGATATCCTGATTTCTGATAGACTCCAAATCATAAACTCAAATTAAAAATCAAGTTATAACTCCGTCAGCAACAATCACATACAAACATAGCTACAATAGTTTTTAATTTGTTCTATATTGCCGATGTAAAATGTACCGTTACATATTTGCTGTGCTAGGCATTTAGTGTTCGTTCCTATGAGAACTTTAAACAGTGCAATCTATTCCATATTTTTTCCCATTACTTAAGCTGCCAGGCAAACATTTATGAATTTTTTAAATTGACGCTATGTTTAAAATAATTTTTAAATCTTTTTAATTTATGAAATAATTTCAGTTCACGAAAGAGTCAGTCGTGCAGTGTTACGCCTCATTCATTGAACATTTTGAAACTGCCGAGAAGGTGTCTGGCTTGCTCTTTTGTTTTTTATTTATTTAGTTTTTTTTTATTTTGTTTTCTGCCACACATATACACAACACACACAAACACACACATACACGCACATACACACATACACGCACACACACACACATACACACGAAACGGCACTGCATTTTTTCTGCGCCATCCACTTTTCACCACCCTACTTACTTAAAAATTAAAGTGAACGCGAAAGCAACTCGTCATACGAAGAACACACCTATAATCTTCGAGTTTGGAACCAACTGTGTTTGAACCTGGTTACTGCGCACTGACTACCGTTTGAGTAAACTCGTCAACAAAATTACAATGTTCGCTAATATGATTTTTTCTTTGTTTAATGCTACAAAGTTGTCAACGTTGAATGATCATTACCTCCATTGGCAGGTTCTTAATGAAGTCATGAATAAGTCGTCGTTCCAAAAATTTGTTGAGGTTTCTTATATTTTTCTGACTTGATTAAACGCGAATATTTTGTAAAAATTCTAATGTCATGGAAAAAATATATTCTTATCATTTTCGTTACCATCATCTTAATCATCAGCATCATAAAATTTGATCATCTTATCATCACTTACCTTAACAAATTAAGCAATGCCAGAGAGAAACGAAACTGAAACTTCCTCTGAAAGCTCAGCTGATCAAACCAGCTCAAAGAATTCCCAGATACGAACTAATTTTGAAAGTAGGTCGTTTCAGATATCTATCATCATATCTAGGTCAAATGATTATCTTTAATATCTTTTTTTAATTATATGTTTTTTGAAAATTTCTAAAAGCGTTTTTAACTTATGAAACAGAGTTGGACAAAATAATTTGGCCCCAGCGTTCAGTCCAACTCTCATTAACGCAGATTAAAGACAATAAATAATAGCAGTTAAAAATGAATGAATGTAGTTAATGTTAACAATCGCGACGACGTGGACAGCGTTTGCTGGAGAACACCGCGGCGGACCACCCCGACCACCCCCTCTTGCAGCAGGCCGGGCAGGCCGTGCACAACCTCCTCGTCAGGATCAACACCTTCAACAAGGTCAACGACAAAAATGTGAGTGACGAGGAGGAAGATGGAGCAGCAGCTTCAGCAGGAATTCTGAAGAAATTGGAACTACTGCTGACGACTGATGTATGTTTTTTTAAGATGTGCAATTGTTATTTACCATCATCGTTTACTTGTATTTTTGATGATGAATTCTGAGAGAGAAAGAGAGAGAGAGGAGAGAGAGAAAAAAAGAAAGATAGAGAGAGAGAGAGAGTGAAAGTGAGTTCAACAGATTTCCAAATTATAAAATTCCCGTCATGTCTCTGTGCACAATCGTTTAAAGCTTGTATCGGATGTTCAGCCGAAATATGGTTAACATGTTCCTTGGCTTTCTTTTGTTGACGAAATCTACACCTGCTTTTAACATCTGTATTAGAAACGTGTCTTTAATCTTGAGCTGCCATAAGGAAATTTTCTGCTCTGTCTTAAAGTTTAAAACTAACCGTCGTTGTTGTTGCTGTTGTAGTTGATGTTGTTGTTGTTGATGCTGTTGTTGCTGTTGTAGTTGATGTTGTTGTTGTTGATGCTGTTGTTGCTATTGTAGTTGATGTTGTTGTTGTTGATGCTGTTGTTGCTGTTGTAGTTGCTGTCGTTGTTGTTGTTGTCGTTGATGTTTTTGTTGTTGTCTTTAATGTTATTAATTAATTTACAATGTAATTTTTTCTTCCATATGGTAAAGATAATGGACGTCATTAAACAGCCAAACTCATGAATAAAAATGATTTGTTGGAATGCTGTTGTTGATGTTGTTGTTACCGTTCGGGATGTCATTGTTGATGTTTTTGTCGTTGTTAATGTTGTTGTTGTTGTTGAAAATGGCAACACTTGTGTATTACATCATTATCTTGCAGTTGGTCAGTCCCGGGCGTGTGTACGTGAGGAATGACTGCGTCATCGTGGATACAGACTCGAATGTTGACAACAATAAATTTGCGAACATCAACAACAACAACAACGTCAACAAAAACATCAACACCAACAACGTCAAAATCAACAACATCGATAGCATTAACAATGATAATAATAGCTTTGACATGATTAGCAACAACAAAAATATTAGCAACAATTACAATAACAACAATTACAACAACTACAATTACAACAACTACAATTACAACAACTACAATTACAACAACAACAATTACAACAACAACAACAATGACATCACGAACGGTAAAAACAACAACAACGGCATTCCAACAAATCATTTTTATTCAAGAGTTTGGCTGTTTAATGACATCATCATCTTTACTATATTAAAGAAAAGGTTACATTGTAACTTAATTAACAACATTAAAGACAACAACAAAAACATCAACAACACCAACAACAGCAACAACGACAGCAACTACAATAACAACAACAGCAACAAAAACAACAACAACATCAACAACAACAACATCGATAACAACATCAACCAAAGCTCCTTTTCAATCTTAATGTTAGTTGGTTTGAATCAAAATCCCTAAGTTGTTGTGATTATTATTACTTCTGCGGCTAAAGATTATTATTGCTATTACTGTTAATAATGTTAATTGTAACTAATTATTGTTGTTGATGTTGTTGTTGGTGTAGAAATACCTTTATCAACTAACGAATTTGTTCATTGTTGTTAAAAAATAGGTAAAATTTTCCAATTTTTCTGGTTGTGTGTAAGCTTAAAATTTATTTCTTCAATGAATATTAACGTATATTTAACCGTTACATGATGTTCGTTCGTTAAATAACTAAGGATGAAGATGTTTACTAATGAATAAAATATTATTTTAGTGGCTTTTAACCAAAATATTATCAATATTTTTAATCACAAATGTTTTTGTTATAATTATCAATAATTTTTTTTTTCAAATTTTTCGGAAATTATATTTTTTATTTACAAATCGCAGGCAATCGGCGAACGGTAAGAAGGAGTTGGAAAAAAAGCTGGACGACGAGGAAGAACATGTTTGGCTGAACGTTCATCTCTCCAATGTTCACATTATTAAATGTTTGTTCGTGTTCATTTGTTTATTCACGCTGTTGTTTGCCCGTTCGTTTCGTCTGTTCATACTGTTAAATGTTTGTCCGTGTTCGTTTGTTTATCGAATTGTTCAACATGTGTTCGTGTTCGTCTGTTCTTCAAATTATTAAATGGTTGTTCGTGTTCGACTGTTCACATTTTATTAAAGTATGTTTAATTTTTGTTGGATCAATTTGAATAATTTGCGTTACACACTCGCCAACATTGCTTTAAAATGTTATCGTTATTTATTATTTCTTTAAAAAAATATTTGTTAACCCTGAAATTTGTAACTCCTGAAATAAAATTAATTAAATTATTATATGAATTTAAATGCTCGGCATAGAACTAAATAACAAATGGATAATAAAAATTATTTGCAGACGCCTCAAACGAAAGAACAAAGAATAAAAAAACGGTGCAAAAAGATTTGGAATGCGACATCCACACTGTCAATGAAATCATCAAATTATCGTCCACCCTTAAATGTCCCCACGATGTTAGCTGGATACTTATTTGTCTCATCTGCCATCATCATAGTCATCATCTTCATCATCATCAAAATTATTATTTTTATCATCATCACCACTACCATAACCGTCGCAATCATCTTCATAATCATCGTTAATCGCAACCACCATCGTCATGGTCATCATCTAAAACAACCGTCGTCATCATCGTCATTATCTTTTAAACCACCATCATCATTTCACTCACAGACAATAGAGAAAGCACTGGTGGACCTAAGGGAAGAGATAAGCCGGAATATTATTGACACAAAAATCTACACTCCCCCTCACGGCGTATCACCACCTCTCACATTACCACCACCTCTCACATTACCACCACCTCTCACTTTACCCACACCTCTCACTTTACCACCACCACCTCTCACTTTACCATTATCTTCGCCATCTCCATCATCTTCATCAACACCATCACAATCAACCGCGAATAAACATCACCGAAATCAACAATGTCTAAAATTGCTGATCAAAATAGGGCGAGTGGTTTTTTTTATGTTTTTCTAGATTAAGATATATTGTTCATTTTATTTCCTTAACAAAACAAGAATTATTTTTAAAAAATTAAAAAGAATGGCGACAACGTTCTTACCAATATTTTATTTTTATTTTCGGGCTTAGCCGCTTGTTCATTCAAAAAAAAAAAAAAATTCTGAGTCCGAAAGATTCAAAATAAGATTCGAAAGTATCTATGTCGGTCGGCATATCTTGGAAATTATTAATGACATTTTTTAAATTATTTTATTGTTTTTTGGTAATAAAATGAGTAATAGCCTCTCACTACCAAATACAAACAGAAATGAATCTCGCGAAGTGAAAATGTTGTTTCCGTCGGCACAGCACCAGATGAACTGGGAACTTATATTTCGACATTATCAACAATTGAACAACTGAACTGTTGCGATCATGATAGTAAATGCTGAAGATATTTTACGTTCATTTTTCGCCTAATCTCCAAAATGTTCACGCGGCAATTTATTTTCAAACGTTAAAGTGTTGTTTCTGAATGGATAAATATGAATTTAGTTTAGATAGTAGGTAAACATTAAGTACGCATCTAATGTTATATTTATATGTACCTTATATGTTTTCTTAGAATAATAAATTTCTAACATTTTTTGATCTGTGTATCTAGACGTACATCCATAAATATAAGAAAGATTTATTAATATCAACAGTTTGTTCATACATCTATTTATTAATTTATTTATTTATAACAACGTTTTGTTGAAATTGATATATAGCTCTTGAACTGTAAGTTAACCTTAAAGCATTACATAATCACGAAAAATTACCCACAATCAATATTTTTTTGTCGCTTGGTGCCTCCTTGTAAGTGTATAAAGAATGTCATTTACTTAAAATGCATGTAAAATTTATATAGGGAAAGTTAAAAAAAAAGTCAGTTAAAATATATTAGGAAAGAAAATGGCACGAACAACTAGACGAGCAGTTGAGTTAAAAGCAATAAAATAATACCGGGTTGAAATACTCATGTTACATATGAAAAAATTGTAAAGTTTAACATGAAAAATACATGTTTAAAAAAATTTACAATAATTTTTAGTTACATAATAGACCGGAAGATAGAGAACATACTATCAACATGATATCAGCATATATCAAAGATATCAACATGATAACAACACATATCAAAATATCAACGTGATATCAATATATATCAAAAATATCAATGTGATATCAATATATATCAAAGATATCAACGTAATATCAACATATGCATATATCAAAGATATCAACGAGATATCCACACATATCAAAGGTATCAACATATATCAAAGATGTCAACGTAATCAAAATATATCAAAGATATCGACAAGGGTATCGACATTCTACGTAGCTAACTTCAACTGCGTCTAATTTAAATGAACCAAGATGGCGCTGAAAATGGCTGTACACGACAGTGAGTTTTATTTCAGTTTTCACCACTTCATGCAATTATACGTTGAATTTTTGAAATAATCTTCGTTTAATTTAAACTTAAAATAATTTCTCTAGTTTGCTCTGTGCTACACAGCGTACATTACTTGCTTTAATCATATAATATTTGTACTGTTATTATATCACACAAACAACAGACAGCACAATTCAATTTCACCAAAAAATCAAATGATATGAGAAGGACAAGCCACTAAAATCTAATCTAACATTCTAATGAGCATAATTCAGTCAAGTCAGTCACCATAAAACTCAACTTCCCTATATGAGTCTGAGAATATAGAATAATTTTTAAAATTTGCACGTTCATTTATAAGTCTCAATCTAAATTATTTCCTAAGTATTTATCAGATATATTAATTGAACCTAAACGCTCCGGTTTACGATCGTCTTCTTTTTCTCGCTTTTTCTTAACTCGTGTTAAACACTCTTGCCAAATCTGCTTTTGCTTTTTCTGGTCCTTTTCTCTGGAACTCTCTACCTACTTCTCTGACTACTTCTCCATCACTTGCGAAGTTCAGAGCGGATCTCAAGACCCATCTGGGCAAAATCCTAGGACAGTGCCTACCATGCAATTGAAAACACATTATAAATGCGGGAGATATGTATAAAAAAGAGTGCACATAAACAACGACCAATGAGATAAATAAAAAAGAGAACGCAACACAGCTGTAAGTGAACGACCAATGAGATAACTAGAAAAGGGAACGCAACACAGCTGTAACTTAATGAATGAACGAAAATACGGAGCTATTGAAGTGCTAATGTCACGAATATAAAATATCAATTAATCGATTGCAGGCGGCAATATAAACTAGTATTTATATGAATTAAATTTTTGGACAAAAAGATTGCATACATTTTATTTTCTTTTACCATCTCAAAATTTGTATTTTTTTACATTAAATAATATCAAACAAATGTACTAATAAAAATAATTATAAAAAATAGAAATTAAGAAAAAAGAAAAATTAAGGTATCATAGTCCCTAGCATATGTTGCATTTCTGTCTAACATGTACAATGATATTTCCAAAAGGCATTTACCGAATTTTTCTCTCCACATAAATTCAGCTAAATATGTAGCCTTCAAGTCTTTGGATGTCCCATACATATATTTAAATGTACGCTTCAATCTGGCCCACATCGATTCGATATTTTGTGTGTGAGCACCCGTGACTGGATCAACAAAATTTACACTGTGATTCACTGTGATGTGAGTATAACCCAAGTTGTTCAACTGACTGTACGCACGCCACTCATCAGAGACTATTGTTGTCCCAGGAGCAATCCATTTTTGAATGAGAGGGATTAGAGTTTGTGAGTCTCGTGCCTGTACCTCCTATGCAAAACATATTCTTGTCCCTCGCTGTATTCCTCCAAACACCCATCCATCTTTATATCTGTTGTTTCTTCCCCTATAATATTTTGCCTTCAGAATTTTAGTTTCATCTATTTCTACAATTGTTCCGGGACCCCCAATCTGTACAAAATTATCAATACAACGGTCTATACAAACGTCCCGGCAAAAATTGTACCAGTCCACAACAGTATTTTTATTTACGCCAACCTCCCTTGTTGTCAAATATACAGGCATTTTCCATGCCCAACAATAAAGAATTTGTATCGTTTTTGACATCTCTAATTTACTATTTTCAAAAAATGAATCCTTTCGAATACTTGTCCTCATTTGACAATTTTTTTTGGACATCGCCAAATGACTTAGTCAACTTTATTAACTAAATGAATAACCTCGTACATTTCTTCCCGCAGTTTTCGCAAAACATTTCCCGATACAACAGTCCATTAAACCTTAACCACTGCCTAGTTATTCTACGATTTCTAGTGAGACGATACAGCTTGTTAAAATTTAAACGATTTAATATTATTGCCTGATTCATTTTACAATAAATCGTCTTTTTCAAGAAAGGAACTACGACGCGCGAAAAAAAATGTTTCATTTTGGGCATATTCGAACAGCTATGGTATGCTTAAATCATAACCACTTCAAAATAATAAAAATTGTTTCTGCGGCATTTTAACTAGATTAATGAAAAAAATTTTATTTGTTAATTATTTGGTCTTTTCATTATTCCATTTCATTTCAATTTTTAATTATTTGATGATATAAATGGCCAATAAGATTTTTTTTTTCCATTTTTATTATTTTAATAAAAATTATTCATTTCATTTTATTATTTTAATATAAATAATTTAAAATAATAAAGTTTGACAGTTCAGTATTTTTTTTAAATTTCTTACATTATGTTTCGACATTGTGCTCACAATCTCATTGGTCGTTGTTTATGTGCACTCTTTTTTTTTACTTATCTCCCGCATTTATAATGTGTTTTCAATTGCATGGTAGGCACTGTCCTAGGATTTTGCCCCCATCTGTTTTCAAAATTCATTGAGGAGCGCTGTTGAACATCGCGGAAATAGCGCTTTATAAGCTAATTGATTGATTGATTGATTGATCTGACATCTGTCATTTGAATTTATTTAAAATTTTTAGCAAGGCAATTGAATTACTATTATGACCCTTACAAATCACAAACTACTTAAACCAAACAACCAAATCCTAACTTTCATTCCTTGCCATATTTTTGTCCTGCAGGAATAATGAACGACGTGGTGAAGGCTGTTAAGGCAACTGATTGGAAGGTGCTGATCGTCGACCAGCAGAGTATGAGGATGGTGTCCGCCTGCTGCAAGATGACCGAGATACTGGCCGAGGGAATCACACGTATTTCACTATTATTCATTATTATATTTCATTTCGTTGTATGAAAAATATTATTTTATTTACTTCACAAAAATTATAACTTAATTATTACAAAACAAATACTCTGAATCATATAAAAAAATTATCAATTATAGAAATTTTTCATTAGCAAGTTGTTGAATCAAAAAAAAACTATTACCTCGATTAAAATTTTTTCTTGACAAGTTGTCGAGGACATTGGCAAACGCAGAGAGCCCCTGCCATCTTTGGAGGCTGTTTATTTGATTACCCCCACTGACAAGGTAGGTTATAATTGGTTGGAGAATTTTATTCATAAGATGTGTCACTAAACCTCTAAAAAACTTCACTAAACTACTCTAGTTTTAGCCTATGGGCTGACATTTTTTTATCAAATTTTTATAAAGATGTTGAATTTTGTGGGTTAGAATTTGCTGAATGTGGTCATTGGTTATTTTCAATGTTTTTAATGCTGAAGAATGAAATAATTTTCTTTTTCAAATTAAAAAAATTTTTTTTTAAAGTTTTACTTGGGAAGATGGGGCTGTTAAACTGATTTTGGTGTGATGCTTATTGTATTTATTCATACTTGTTCTAACATTCAATTTATTGGTATAATTAAAAAAAATAATTATATTAGTGGGTCATTATGATGTGTTTTTACATTTATTTGTCATCTTCTGATGTAAATTTACATTTCTTTGTAATATACTATGGTAAATATACATTTAATTGTAATATATCGTTATAAATCTAAAATTTATTGTATGTAATATGTCGATATAAATTAGTACAATATACTTGATGCAAAATTATTTCATATTTTATTACGCTTATTCTAATCTTTGGAGATGTATATTTATTTATTTTATTTTTTTTTTTCTGATCGATCTAGTCCATAAAAGCCGTGGTGACTGATTTTCAAAACCCTGTTAGACTGCAATATAAATTTGCTCATATCTTTTTCACTGAAGGTTTGATGGAATTATTATTATTAATTATTATTATTATGTTCGAAAATTATTATTATTGCTATTAGTTATTGTATTACTAATTTATTAACAATTAATTTTTCATGCTATAAAATTATTTTTGTTGTGCAATTAAAAGTGCAGATTAGAAAAATATTCACGGCTTTTTGTTGTTGACATTGTTATTACTGATTTGTATTATTGTTAACATCGTTTCCATTATTATTATTATTATTATTATTATCATCATCATCATCATTTTATTGCATTTGACATTTTATTTTATTTCATAATTTTATTTTATTTGTACCACCATTTTCATTGATTTTATTGTTGAATAAAAGATTGTTCCCATTAATTATTTAGTTGATTATCGTTGTTGAATTAGTCTTATATATTTTTATTTTTATTGCCTATTTCTACTGATTTTATATAGTTCTTATTTTTATTCTCGTGTGATTTTGACACTAGAGTTTGATGCTGATTTTGATTTATATGGGGTCATGTTTATGTTGAGTAGTTTATTTTATGTTTACACAGTTTTGGGGTTTTTCACATTTTAAATGTTTTATTTATTATTAATTTATTTGTTTTTTCACTTTTTTTAATAACTATAGAAATTTAATGTTTATACCAATTTTTATGTTTTAAATATTTTATTTGATTCTTTTTTATTGATTTTTTTTTCATATTTCTCTCTTTTTGTATCTGTTAAAAGCACTAAATTGTAAATTGTCCAAATTGAAATGTAGTAGCACTTAATTGATAAGTTGTTTAATTATTTTCATTTCAATTATTTGACATTATTTGACATTATTTAAATTTTATTCGTTTGTTATTTGTTTGTTAATTTGTTTATTTTTTGTTTATTTTATTTTAAATTTTGAATTCCAGTCGGTTCATAGACTGATGAATGATTTTTATACTGTATCAACGTGCTGCTACAAGGCATGTCACATCTTTTTTACACAAGGTTTTTCATTTTGTGTCTTAGCTTTAATGAATTTTCTCATTTTTTCAGTTGAGTCTGGAAAGATAAAAAATAATATTTTTTTCAAATAGAAAGAGTAATTTTTTTAAATGATTGTTTTTTTATACATACAACTTTTAGAAAATTTGCATTATTAAAAATATTTAATGCTGGTGTCTTTGTGCTGTAGGAAGAATTTTTTTTTGAAAGACTTTTTTGATTTTTTGTTTTGTGATGTTGCATGAAAAGGTAGCAGCATGATTATTTCTCGAGAAATGTTTAACTGATTGATACCACACACACACACACACAGACACACACACAGAGACACACACACACAGAGAGACACATACACTCACACACACACCAGCCTGCCCAGATGAGTTGTTCAATGAACTATGCAAGTCAACAGCAGCCAAGTTCATTAAGACGCTGAAAGAAGTCAACATTGCTTTCCTACCTTACGAGAAACAGGTTCGTATTTTTTTTAGTTAGTGTTCAATTTTGATGATTTTTTCTAATTTTTCATTTTAAAAAATTTTTATTTTGGAATTGGAAATATTTTTTGCCCAATAGTTTGCAAGTTCTTTATATATTTTTTTTTAATTCTAAAAAAAATTTTGCTTTTCTTTATGTGGTTAGGTGTTTTCATTGGACAGCCCTGAGACGTTCAAGCACTTCTACAACACGAGCAAGTCGACTGGTCGCCTGATGAGTCTGGAGAGATGTGCTGAGCAGATTGCCACGTTGTGCGCCACACTGGCTGAATACCCTACCATCAGATACAGAGGGTTGGTTGCTTGGCTCCTTGATTGGCTGGTTGACTGACTGACTGACTGACTGACTGACTGACTGACTGACTGACTGACTGACTGACTGACTGACTGACTGACTGACTGACTGACTGACTGACTGACTGACTGACTGACTGACTGACTGACTGACTGACTGACTGACTGACTGACTGACTGACTGACTGACTGACTGACTGACTGACTGACTGACTGACTGACTGACTGACTGACTGACTGACTGACTGACTGACTGACTGACTGACTGACTGACTGACTGACTGACTGACTGACTGACTGACTATTTGACTGACTGACTGACTGACTGACTGACTGACTGACTGACTGACTGACTGACTATTTGACTGACTGACTGACTGACTGACTGACTGACTATTTGATTGATTGACTATTTGATTGATTGTTTGATTGATTGACTATTTGATTGATTGTTTGACTGATTGATCAATCAGTAATCATTTAATTAAATTATTTGTTCATTCATTTATTCATTCATTCATTCGTTCGTTCGTTCATTCGTTCATTCGTTCATTCATGGATTGGTTGTTTTATTCCACGGGCTTATTGCAACTGCATGTAAACATTCAATAGTGAACTGGAGAAGAACGGCGAGTTTGCGCAGTTGATTCAGCAGAAGTTGGATGCCTACAAGGCAGATGATCATACAATGGGCCAGGTTATTATCACTTATGTCTTACTCCACTAAACACATTCTCCTCCTATTTCAAAATACTTTTCGATGCCTCTTTTTGAATCCACAATTTTTTGTGACCTCGCACAATGATAGGATCCTCTGGGGGGCACAATATTTTATGTATTATGCATACAAATTTACATGAATTTGTAAGCTGAAAAAATGTTCACCATAAAAACACAACACAATTAGCCATTGATTCAAAATTCATTTGTCACACACACAGCTAATGGCGTAATACACATTTCTGTGTGTACAAATATATCTTGAATAACCTCAAATCGATCGAGTACCCAATAAAATAGTTAAATGTATTCTTTTGACATTTCCCGACCAATTGACTGCTCAGGATCCCGGCAAGGAGAAGTCCTTGCTGTTGGTGCTGGACAGGGGGTTCGACCCGGTGTCACCCCTCCTCCACGAACTGACCCTGCAGGCCATGGCCTACGATCTCCTACCTATTGATAATGATGTCTACAAGTTTGTAGTCACTTTTAATCAATTTTTTTATCATTTTTATCAGTTGTTTCTTTCATGTTTGCCGGTTATACTTTGGCGTTACAGTTAAACATTCTTCAATCGTGGAATGGAATTTAGGTAGTTTTGAATGGGATGCAGTTTCTTCATTTTGATTCTCCATCTTGCAGTCTGAATTTTTTTAATGAGACGTTTCAATTGTTGAATCATCAAGTTTTGAGTGCAGGCAGATTTCAGCTTATCACATAGGAAAACTGATTCACACATGGGATTATAACGCGTTGATTCACAAGCATTGATTTGTGTGCATGATGCATTGATTCGCGTGTGTGATGCATTGATTCGTGTGCGTGATGCATTGATTTACTACATGATGCATTGATTCGTGTGCGTGATGCATTGATTCGTGTGCGTGATGCATTGATTCGTGTGCGTGATGCATTGGTTCGTGTGCGTGATGCATTGATTTACTACATGATGCATTGATTCGTGTGCGTGATGCATTGATTTACTACATGATGCATTGATTCGTGTGCGTGATGCATTGATTCGTGTGCGTGATGCATTGATTCGTGTGCGTGATGCATTGATTCGTGTGCGTGATGCATTGATTCGTATGCGTGATGCATTGATTCGGGTGCGTGATGCATTGATTCGTGTGCGTGATGCATTGATTCGTGTGCGTGATGCATTGATTCGTATGCGTGATGCATTGATTCGTGTGCGTGATGCATTGATTCGTGTGCGTGATGCATTGATTCGTGTGCGTGATGCATTGATTCGTGTGCGTGATGCATTGATTCGTGTGCGTGATGCATTGATTCGTGTGCGTGATGCATTGATTTACTACATGATGCATTGATTCGTATGCGTGATGCATTGATTCGTGTGCGTGATGCATTGATTTACTACATGATGCATTGATTCGTATGCGTGATGCATTGATTCGTGTGCGTGATGCATTGATTCGTATGCGTGATGCATTGATTCGTGTGCGTGATGCATTGATTCGTGTGCGTGATGCATTGATTTACTACATGATGCATTGATTCGTATGCGTGATGCATTGATTCGTGTGCGTGATGCATTGATTCGTGTGCGTGATGCATTGATTCACATTGGCCCTTCAAAACTATCAAAGAATGGTCCAAATTGAAATGCACCCATTTGCTTATGCCACCTTCCAGATGATCTACAGACAGACACCACTCACTCTCCATGTATTTTATTAACATTAGTGTTTGTGTCATTCTTAACGTCTGTAGCTGGTACAAACATCAAGAACTGACTGAACATTTCTTGGCAGGTATGACAACGCAGTGCAGGGAGAGGCAGTGGAGAAGGAGGTGCTGCTGGACGAGAGTGACGAGTTGTGGACCGAACTTCGACACCAGCACATAGCCATCGTGTCTCAGTGAGTTCTTCTTCTCATCATTCAGGATGTTGACGTTTCGTTGTTGTTATTCTATGCTGTGAGTTCTTCTTTTCCTCATTCATGATTGGTGACGTTTCGTTATTGTTGTCCTATGCTGATGAGTATGTCGTTAGTTATTTGCTGTGATTGTGTTGTTGTCATGTGAGCTGTGATTGTGTTGTTGTCATGTGAGCTGTGATTGTGTTGTTGTCATGTGAGTTGTGATTGTGTTGTTGTTTCATATGTTTGTACAAGGCTTGGATAGTTGGATTAACTGTGTCATTCTTTATGTCGAGTTATGTAACAGATTCCATGTCTGTCAGATTCTGTTTTATTTTAAAGAATAATAAAAAATATTTCATTTATTTATTTATTAAACTAATTGGTGTTTAGATGGTTTTTAAATGATGATAGTAACTATGCTAACTGTTTAATTAACTTCTTACTTCTTATTTAACTCTGCTGATGACTTTTAATTAATTGTTTATTTTTTTGTTAGTTTGTTTATTTTATTTTTATTCATTTTTATTTCTTTCCACACGTGAATTTTTTAAGGTTTTATGCTAGAGATGGCTAGATGGAGAATGTATTTCCTTAGCCCATAAATCACTAAATGAATAAATCACATCTAATCAATGATTACATCATAAATCACATCTAATCAATGATTAGGTCATAAATCACATCTAATCAATGATTAGGTCATAAATCACATCTAATCAATGATTTTTTGGCTAATCCACGGGAATTTATTTTTCTTCTTTGGCGACCCATCATCCTAATTTAGTTTGTCTTTGTTAGTAGTGAAACTTTGAAGAAAAAAAAATTTCTATCTTTAACGTGACAGCTTCAACATTCCAACTTCAAAACAAACAATGCACTTACTAATTCATTCACTCACCCACTTATTAATTAGTTAATTGATTAGTTAATTAATAGTAAGTTAATTAGTTAATTGATTAGTTAATTAATAGTTAGTTAATTGAATAGTTAATTAATAGTTAGTTAATTAGTTAATTGATTAGTTAATTAATAGTTAGTTAATTGATTAGTTAATTAATAGTTAGTTAATTGATTAGTTAATTAATAGTTAGGTAATCGATTAGTTAATTAATAGTAAGTTAATTGGTTAATTGATTAGTTAATTAATAGTTAGTTAATTGATTAGTTAATTAATAGTAAGTTAATTAGTTAATTGATTAGTTAATTAATAGTTAGTTAATTAGTTAATTGATTAGTTAATTAAACAGGCAGGTTACTCGCAAGTTGAAGGAGTTCACGGAGAACAAGCGCATGTCAGCGAAGGAGAAGTCGACGATGAAAGATCTCTCCCAGATGATCAAGATGATGCCGCAGTACCAGAAGGAACTGACCCACTACTCCACTCATCTTCATCTGGCCGAGGACTGCATGAAGAAGTACCAGGGACGTGTCGATAAGTTGTGCCGTGTTGAACAGGTTGATGCTTCCGCTACTGATACTGATGTTTTGTGTTCTTTCGTGCTGTTCGTATCCGTGCTCTCTCTCTCTCTCTTTCTCTCTCTCTCTCTCTCTTTCCCTCTTTCTCTCTCTCTCTCTCCCTCTTTCTCTCTCTCACACATACACACATATTGTATGTACTATATATATATATATATTAGGAATGGGACGGATCCAAGATTTTGGGGTCCGTGGATCCGAATCCGGATCTCGACGATGGATCCGGATGGATCCGAATCCGGATCCATGTTGTATGCGGTCATAAAACTAAATAAGCTGTTTCTCTGACGAACCAAAGAAATATTTTTTATTCGTATTTGTATCAAGTTAATTGTAATATTAGTTATATTAAACACAGTAACAAATAGCATTATTCATTATAATTTATTAAAATAAAAATTTTCACAATCAATAAAGTGGAAGTTTAATATTACATTATTCACTAATCAATCAGATAGTTTTATTCTAGGCAAATTAACTTTCAAAAATGTTAACATTTCAACATTATCCATTAACAACCGATGGCGACCTTTTGTAATCCCCGATGAGACCTTGAATATTCTTTCTATGCACACAGTGCAAGGTGGTGGCGTTAAGTATTTTTTGGCTATTTTTGATAACAGAGGATACTGATTGCGGCAGTGGTTCCAAAATATTAATGGATCTTTATCATGGGAAATTAAAGCTTCTTTCAAATATTTTTCAATTGTTGTCCTTGGTCCATCCATTTTTTCATTTTGTGAATTGTGTGATTGACCAGCAGTAACATTATAGGATGACCACAAGCTTCCATCATCTGGCATTAATTTTATTTTTTTTGCTGGTTGCTCAATTTCAGTAGGCCCAACAGCATCAGTTTCAAGTTGCATATATTCTTGAATAAGATTATCTGTCGCAGTGACTTTATGAATTTCTTTCAGGAAAAATTTGTCCTTAAATCGCGGGTCTAACATTGTTGCCAGTGCATATAATTTATTTTCACCAAAATTATTAAATCTTTTTCGCATCTCATCCAATAAAACTGCTTTTAATGTTAGGACACCAGCCTCACATGTATTTTCTTGTAGTTTGGTTTCTATCAATTTTATAATCGGAATGACCATTGAAATTGAAACACTTTCACCGCTTATCGCATTAGTAGCTTCAGCAAATGGTGAGAGGACAGTGATGCATTTTTCCATTAATTGCCATTCAGTTGGTGTTAATGACACCGGTAAATCATTCTCACTGCCATATTCAATTATTGCTCTTTTTTGTTCTCGCAGGCGTTCCAGCATGGAAAGACACGTATTCCATCTGGTTGGCTCTTCTTGAATAATACAATGTTGAGGTAACTGGAGATCTTTTTGTAATTCTTTTAATCTACTCTTTGCTGAAGGCGAATGTTTGAAATGGCCCACAAGCTTTTTTGAATGTGTTATCATATCTGATATTGACTTTTGAGCAAACAGACCTTCTTGCACAATTAGATGAAGACCATGTGCAAAACATGTTATACTAGGTAGATCAGCATTTTTCATTGCCTTGACCATGTTGGTGCCACCATCACGAACAACTAAAAAAATTTTCTGCATGTGTAAACACCATTGCTCAAGAACAACATTAAAAATCTGTAAAATTTTAATGGCTGTATGTCTTGAGTGCATTGGTGCAACATTCAAGACAAACATTTTCCGTTCGTATGATGTAGTTAACCAATGTGCAGTTATCCCAAAGTAGGATTCTGTTGACTTTGATGTCCAGATGTCCATCGAAAGAACTACATCCTCTGCATCATTCATCTGTCGTTTGATTTCTTCGGTAATGGACTCCTGTTAGAAATTGCAATTTGAAGTTCAGATAAGTACATTCTAATAACAAATAACATAACGTCATTTAAAAAAATTATTTGGCTTAAATTAGAATTTAAAAATTTTATATACAGGATATAATTTAAAAAAAATAAATTATAAAATTTTGTTGAAATTGAAATACTTTTAATTTTGGTAACATCTTTTCTGTTATATACCGTCGACATGGGAGAACATACTTCGAAATAGCAATTGAACAAAAATGATTAAAACCTTCGTCTTCCACTATACTCAAAGGTTGCATGTCTATTGCAATCATTCTAATTAGCGCAGTAGATGGCCTTAGACTGTGGATTATCTGCACTCCACTTATCAGACCTTTGAAAACCTGCAACTATTCCTTCTTGGCGAAGCTGAGTTTGTCCATCAGTAAAAGTTGAAGGCTTTGTTGTTGTCACTTTTTCACTCTCCTTTTGCTGAAGATTTCGAAATTTTTCAAAATGCTTGGTACGAAGATGTTTACGCATAGATGATGTACCACAGTCATTTACATCTTTTGCGCCGCGTGATAAAGTTATAGCACAGGTATTGCATTTAACTTTTGTACCATTTTCCAATACTGAAAAATATTCCCAAACCAAACTTTTTTTTTGTTTGGAATCCATCCTTTACGTTCACGTTACGTCAAGTTAATAAATTACCTACAAATGTGCGCACACCTCAAACGAATTCTAAATGGCGGATCGAAATCCAAAGATACTTCATATAGGTGTTTAATTAATCCATGATATAGCATAGCATGAAGCTGAATTTCTAAAATAAAAAAGTTTTTATTTTTAAAATGCGCAATAATGGATTATAAAGTTTACAAAAAATCAAATTTTTGTTTTGAATGTTAAATTTGTAGAGGTGCAAAACGAATCTCAAAAACATCAGTTTTCATAACTTTAAATGATTATTACGTAATCAATGTTGATATTTAGATTCACTTTTTCCCTCAATCGATAAAATTTTCTCGCCGCTTAAGTTGATTTTGGACCCGTAAAACGCCGAATCCTCAATTTAGGATCCGCGGATCCGAATCTTTTCCGAATCCCTGGATTCGGATCCGAATCCGGATTCGGAACCGTCGCATTCCTAATATATATATATATATATATATTCATGTTCAACTTTGTGTCACTTTGTCAAGTTTTTGAGGTCGATAATATCACCTTTGTTGCCATCATCATCATCTTGATTGACGTCATCGTCATTTTAAACGTCCCTCTTCATCATCTCCTTCATCACTCACCGCCAGCACCATCATTATTTTCTTCGTCATGATCATCAAAATCATCATCAGCTCCATCATCATCATCAACATCATCATCATCATCCGTCAACAACGTCATCATCATCAGGATCTAGCCATGGGGACAGATGTGGAGGGAGAAAAGATCAAGGAGCACATTAAGAGCATCGTCCCAATCCTGCTCGACGAATCCGTCTCCATCAGTGACAAACTCCGTGTCATCCTACTCTACGTTATCAGCAAAGGAGGTCATTTGTCTTCTTCATTTAATTATTAATTGGGTGGACACACACACACGCACACACAAACAAACTCGCACACGCACACACAAACAAACTCCCACACACATATACACAAACAAACTCGCACATACACATACACACACACGCACGCACATATACACACACACAAATGCCATAAAAAAATTGTTATTCAGGTATTACTGATGAGAACTTGAACAAGCTGTTGCAGCATGCCCAGATCCCCATGGAGGATAGGAAGGTTATTTTCAATATGCAGGCTCTAGGTGTCACTGTAGTGCAAGAGGTTTGTTGGTTGCTGGGTTGATTGGTTGTTTCAGTAGTTCGCTGGTTGTGATTGGTTTGGCTGTTTGTTAGCTGGTTGGTTGTTTGGTGTGTGTAGAGGTGTGTGTAGAGGTGTTTTGTGTGTGTGTGTGTGTAGTTTAGTTGTGTTGCGTTGTTGATACCTTTAAGAACCAATTGAGAGAGACAATAGCAATGATAAATTAATATACGAATGGATAGGCAATTTAATAAAAATTAAATTAGGGAGGCCGCAGAAAATCAGCCCAGTTGTACCAGCCACAGAATAGAAGGGAGAGGACTTCGGCACACATGTACCAGATGTCCAGGTGGACTCCGTATATCAAAGATCTCATGGAGGTCCGAGTGTGTGTTTTTGTGGGTTTGCGTGCGTGTGTGTTTGTGTGTGTTGGTGCCTGATTTTGTGTGTCTGTGTTTGCGTGTGTGGTTGTGCTTGTCTGCGTGTATGTGCGTGTTCTTAACTCAAGGTGTATTACAAATGTGGTTTGCAGGAGGCAGTTGAGGACAAACTGGATTCCAAAAAGTATCCCTACTTGATGACGGGCAACAACAGATCTCTAAACATAGGCGGAGCCCCTGTTAGGTTGGTTGGCGTATGTGTGTTTGTTTGTTTGTTGGTGTGTGAATTGGAGTCAGACTTCTCCAATAACTTTCTAAAGTTGTTATTAGAGAACGTAATAACCTTTTCCAAATTCTCGTTAGGCTTTTCTAGAATCTCGTCGAGGCGTTGAAGTAAATATTCATTAGTTCGCTCTAAAATTTTTGAAACCATCAACTCGAAATTTTTGGGAGAAATATTTTTAGCTATGATAAGCAAATTTAAACAATTGTTACTGAAATATTGACTAATTTAGAAAATTGAAAAGCGAAAATTCGAAATTCAGCAAGACGTACGTTAAGCTAGCGACGACCAAAAATCTACCAACAAACATCCATGCAAGCATATCAGCCGTAACAAAACATACAAACTTGTAACAATACAAACATGCAATCAGACAATCATACCAAGCACAGAAACAGTGCATACAAACAACCATTCATACAAAACATACAAACTTGTAACAATACAAAAATGCAATCACACAATCACATCAACAATGCATACAAACAAACAACCATTCATACAAAACAAACAAAAGTATATCTATACAAACATGCAATCACACAACCAAACCAAACATAAAAACAATACAAATAAACAATACAAACAGACAACCGTACATACATACAAAACCTACATAAACATACAAACAGCGCTCGCTACGGTCAGTGGCACAAGGAGCGAACCAATCAGATGAACGTGAAATCGAGTGGGCCACGCCTGATCGTGTTCATCATCGGGGGCATGTGCATGTCTGAGATGAGGTGTGCCTACGAGGTCAGCAGCGCCCTCAAGAATTGGGACGTCGTCATCGGTCCGTCTGCTTGTTATGTCATCCTTTTGTTTACCGGAATGAGTCGTTGTTGTTAAAATTTGTTGTTTATCGTTGATTTTTCTTAATTTTATTGATAAGTCTTAACTATCGTAATATTGATTTTTAATTATTTTAAGTTAATGCAGCGCTATGATGGTACAACTTGAAATATTATAGTTTATATAGTAGGATAGGTGTGTATGAAAAAATAGCTGTTGACTAATTGAAAAACTAAATTAATAACAGCAACTATTATTATTTCATTAACACGAATAACAACAACATTAATAACAACAACATCAGTCACGATAACAATAACAACATTAACAACAACAACATTACAACAGTATTACACAGCATTAACAACAACAATACAACATTAACAACAGCAACAAAAACATGAACAACAGCAACAACATTAATAACGATAACATGAACAACAACAGGTTCAACACACATCCTCACCCCTGACTCATTTATGACTTCCATCAAAGAGCTGGCTGTGGAGTTCAAATAACTGAAGATTGTTTGCCCACTCACCCACTCGTTCACTCACTTATTTAGTCATTCACACATTCATTCCTTCATTAACTCATTCATTCGCTCACTCGCTCACTCACTCATTCACTCACTCATTCACTCTCTCATTCTTTCACTTTTATTAACACGTGACAACGAAGGAGTATGTAGACGATGAAGATGACAATAGAGACGCTGATGTATTGTCCCCATTCATTTACTTAATATCGAAGTTTAATGTAAATCCGTACATAAATTGTTCTATATATATATAAGAACAATTTCCAATAAATTCTAGTAAGGAAAATGGAAAAGACAAACTTTAAATTGATTAATGCTAACAATTCGGTAGAATTTATACAATACTGTATGTAAGTATGTATATAAATAAATATATATACATATATATATATATATATATATATATATATATATATATATATATATATATATCCCATCTTGGTGCGTGAAAAAAAATATATTTTTTCATTGATTCTTGACAAACATTCCTATATTATCGATATTTATCTATTCCATTATAATGGTGTATTTATCAAAAGGTCAATCATTTAAATTTATTTAATGACCAATTACTACATATGTCTAATGTATGTTTGTGTGTGTGTGTGTGGTGTGTGGTGTGTGTGTGTGTGAGCGTGTTGTACTGCTCAAAAAATTATGTACACATTAAAGTTAATACCAATCATCCTTTCTTTTTGTTCTTATTCCTTTGTTCACCTAGCTCATTTATTTTTGTATACATTTAATTGGAAATATTTATTCAGCAAAATATTACACATTATTTGTGGAATTTTTCAAAAATTATTTATTTATCATGAACTATTTTAACTATTTTATGATTTTTTTATTATCATTTTTAATTTAAAAAAAGACTAGGTTTCGACGTTATTTACCGTAATTCAATCCTTTAAACAAATTTACATTCTTTTTATGTGATTAAGAATATACTTTTGGAAAGATAAGAGAAATTGAAAAATGAAAGCTGCCAAGTACATTAAGAAATTTGGCTCTACAAAATTTTACAAAAAAAGTTTGTGGTTGAAGGAGTAGTTTTCGGTGAATTTTTTTACGGGTTTAGGCGTTACTTTGTTACATTTAGACAAAACGTTCTCATCAATCCAGCTCATTGAATTCTTGCTGGAATTTCTCGAAATTGCTGTTGACTGCTATAATGCAATCCAACAGCTAATCATCCTTTTAATCTCGCAAAACTTTCTCTAACATTTTTCCACAGATCATGACTAGATGGTAAGTATAGATATCTATTATTTTCTGAAAAGTATAGATATCTATTACCTTGTGAAATTTTACTTTTAAAAAATGCCTCTTGGAAAAAAATTGTCTGTCATCCATTCTGTATTTACGGCCCAACGTCACCAAAATCGAACTACTCGCCGAATCAAAAATATGTTTTCAGGGAAAGCAACCAATTCATATTTTCTTTGATAATCTATAAAGATTAACTGAAACGTAAACTTGTTAACCATTATAAATAAAAGTTGAACGCGTGTTATGTAGTTGCTTTCACTGAAAAATTTTATGGTTGTTGACAATTGTGAACATTATAATAGTATATAACGGTGGTGGTGTTTATATATATATATATATATACAAATATATTTATCTTTTATATGTATATATATATATATATGTGTGTGTGTGTGTTACATTCTCCTATATTATATATTTTTACAAACTCTTACATTGTTGGTCGGCCTTTGTAGAATGTAGAAGTTGATCGTTTTGCAATTTTTAACTTTGCTAGCAGCTATTTTTTAGAATAAATTGTGCACGTATACAATTTTATTCACAAAGTCCAAATAATCAGTCAGACTTCTTCGCAATTCCAATAGTCATTCATGTTCTTACTTACTAACGGTTCTTTCACATTTTTTTTGATTTTCCTAACGGAAAATTATAAATTTGCACCTAATTGTAAGCTTGTATTCGGCGGTGGTAATGGCCTTGAAATAGTTGATAACGATGTTTAAGGACATGGACGATGATAAAGATAATGATAACGTTGAAGATAACGATGACGATAATGATAACGCCTATGATTGAGATGATGGTAATGACGACGATGATGGCTTGGACGAAGTTGTCCATTCAAACAAGAAAATGTCGCTATAATTAACTCGTCAGGACGGGTTTGGGTGTGACGTCACTAACACTTTACACAACTGTCACCCACGCAGATACTCACATTAGCCGCTTGTTTAGTTATTTCAGAGTTCATATATTTTGTAACCTGATGCTTTCAAGTTTTATACTAACAGATGAAAAACTGCAAAAGATTCCATGATAATTTATTCGTTTGTTTTACACACTCGCACGCTCACACATTTACAAAACAAGTACAAACATTGACATTTAGATGTTTAGTTATTATTATTATTATTGTTGTTGTTGTTTAAAAAACTTTACATAATGCTTGTAAATAATTTTATTGTTGCATCGTAGCACGTGTTAATCTATGGCGTACATAGCACTACCTATCGATATTTTGCGCGAATTATTCTAAACGTTTAAAAATTACATACTTAATTGGGATATTTGTCTATTTTTAAAATTGAAATCAAATTATTTTAGGCATATTATTTATTTGGTTAACAAAATTATGATTGAAGTTTTTTGCGGATGGAGCTTTTCTGTGCATAAATATGTGTTTGTAATTGTTGACAATTATCAGGTTATTTATTACTATTTTTAGAGACGCTCCGAATATTCAGCCGAAATTTTGGTTTGGACTTAGTCCATTTTCTAAAGCCAAACAGCCAAATACTGCAACTTCCGTTCTAGCCACCATTCATTTTTTGCACTCTCAGAATAGTTTTTGATGTTATTGGCGGGAAGTTTATTTTGGACATCATAGTTTTTAAAAAATTATAAATTAAACGGAGATTGATTATTATTTTGATGAAAAATTGGATAGGACTGAAGAATGTTATTTTCTCAATGTATATCTTGTTTTGTGTTTTTTTTTGGTATTCAGCCTTTGACTTTGGCGGAAAAATACCTATATGAGCTATTCGGCTATTCGGCCAAATTTACATTTCGGTAAATCACTACTTTTTTTATTTATAATATATTTCATTTTAATTTTCAAAACATGTTGATTGTTTGTTATTATTAGGCCAAGGAATGATTTCTAATGTTTTAATCTGGCTTGTTTGATGTTTTTTGATATGGATCTGACGATATTTCTCATGTTTTGAAATATTTTTTTTGGTGCAAGATCTCAAACTGTATATCCGTTTACATTGATTTATTTTTTAAATAGTGCGATAAAGTTTAGTTTGTTTAGATAGAAACTGTTTTTTAATGAGAATGTATGTAAAATAACGTAATGTCTAGAATTAGTAGCCTATATGTACGTCCTAGATTAATTCATCAGAAGGTTGTTTCGAACATTATGAATTTATTTGGCTGAATAAATAAATGGAATGAAATTTGTTTCAAAGCTAGTAACTATACATTTTATAATCATTTTCACATTCAATTTTTGATCCAATTAGAAGTTGCCAATACTTTAATTGGGCTCAAACCCGATGCTTTATTCGAGTGGGTCTTTAAATTTTAAATATTGTACTTCAGTGGTTAGAAATAGAAATATATTTACCAGAAAGCTGTTTGTTGTATATAAATGTAAAAAAGTTTGAAAACAACTCTTCTGACCAATTGATTGACTGTTTTGGAGATTAGTAATTTCGTGCGTCTGCCTGCTTTTTTTATTTAACTAGTTAATTTAAGATTTAAATGTGTTTTTTTTTTCAAAATTTTCATGAATTTAAAATAAAGGTTTTAAACTATCGTTTCACATTATCTTCCGTTTCAATGCTCTCTGTGTCGTGTTTGTTATTTTCATTCCACTTTGTGGCCGTCAGTTAGTTGACTGGACTCAACTTATTTTGATGAGGAAAAGAAGAGAAGAATGAATTTAACATAGGCGGTTGAGATAAGCGAGATAATGTAAGAAAGCTGATCGTGGTAGGTTGTCGAAGCCGTTGTTAAATTGATTGAACATAGGATGTGTTGGTAGGTTACTTGAAATAACATGCGACGTTTGCAGATGAGATGACAAAAGCAGGTAGGTAGGTAGTTAGATGTGACAGAGCTAGTGATGTTATCGATATGGCAGTATATGATGTTGAATTGTTCACAATGATTAAAATTAGATGAATATTTGTATTAGGGGAGTAAAATCCAGTAGTTCAGTAAACTGCTCTTTCCATTTCTTTCTAAACATTAAAATCTTAAATTTTTCAACTTTGATTCAATGATGAGTAAGCACGTATACATTAAAGAAAGTATGTGTGTATGTATATAAAAATATTTATGTTGAAATATATGGACTGACTCCTGAACCACTGAACAGATTTTAATGAAATTATCGTAATTTGTATAGCGTACGGAGAGGGTGCTCCAAGCCTAGCATTTAAGAAGAGAATTAATGTGAGACAATCTGTGAAGAATTGTAGGAGACGAAATTTGATTGGACTGTTTGAAGTGACCGAAACAAGAAGCAAGTGATTAGGTACGTTTGACATAAAACAACTATCTCAACGTTCATTGTCTCAGTGACAACCCTCTTGCTCTAAGTAGCATTCACTCGTCCAAGCAGAAGAAGGCAACAAAAGTTGTTGTGCCAGTATTTTTCAGCTGATTGTTTCGACAACAAAAACTCTGTGACATTGTAACATCAATTAGGAAACTTAGTCTGAAAGCTCTGAAGCATCCCCAAAACTACAGAAAATTATTTGGTTGATTGCATGAGTTATTTAGAAGGTTGGCAAGTTAATTCTGAAACTCGAACGATATTCGCTATTATGTGGAACTTGCACGTGCATTCCAAATGTATGAGCATCGTGTGGATTGGATGTTTCAGCCTTTGCGATCCAAAAGTGGAAATGGTAGTTCTTCGTTTGTCAGAACTGTGTCATAAAGAACAAAATATTAATAACTTGGTTATATAAATTAGTTAAAATGAAAGTAGCCTACAAGGCATCAATGAAGAACAATTTATTACGAACAATTGATGAACAGCAATGTAATTGAGGGGTCAGGAATCAATCAAGCTGCACAATCATTGGCTAGAGCTCCATAATCATTTGTATCAAAATCAATAACCTAAAAATATATATTCAGATGTATGTAGGTTAGTGATTGCATAAGTTGCAAATATTCTTTCCAGACAAACACACTTTATATACAGGTACATATGTATTTATCACGAAGAATATATATTTATTTATATACCTATATATACATACGTATATGTATATATACAAAAAATAGATAGGGAAGAAGAGGAGAGAGAAAGAGAGAGAGAGAGAGAGAGATCAAGCCGAACTGAAATGACGTTGTTGTTTCGGTAATTTAGAGATTTATTCGTTAAGGTAGATTGTTGTTTGGTTGAAGTCGAGTTGAAAATTTATTCATGGAAAATATAACATAACATTAATTTTCCTAAAATAGAAATAATAATATGTATTATTATTATAACAAGTAATTATTTTGTTCTTATTCTTATTATTATTAGTATTATTTCACTATTCATTTTATATTTATATTTGTTTTAAGGGCTGATAATTATAATACCCATTCAATAACTACGTGCTACGACAGTGCAGTCAAATAACCCGTTGATATAATAATAATAATAATACTTCGCTAATAATAAAATTAATAATACAAATATAATAATTAAAAAGAATTATGACGAGGATGATAATAATAACAATTATTATTAATAATTAATAATAAAAAATTAATAATTAATAATAATTATTATTAAATGATAATTAATAATGAGGACAATGAATATTAAAAATATAAATTTCGATAATTATCGATGAAAAATTGTGATTATTAAATAAAACAAGAGAAAGAAAACATAATAATAAATAATAATCATTATTTAAATATTATTATTAATTTTCCCAAGGTGAGTAGTAAATGAATTAGTTACATTTTATTATAAAATAAAATTTATCAT